TATGTAGCATTGATACTGCAAAAGTTATATGTTGTGTAAATTAAAGGAGTTGCATTTTGCCAAGGGGTTACGTTTCTTAATGTCATAGCTACCCATACAACCCTTACAAACGGCGTCAATTTTTGGCGAATGAATTGATTTTGTCATTACTTTAGTTTTATCCTCCGTCTAAGAGCAGTTTTGCTTCCAAATTACTTGAGTTTTCCAACCCCTCAAAGGTTGGAACATAAGGCGACTGTGTATGGGCTCACTATTTTATTAAGTGAAGAGTGGGGTTCTGGTCAGCTTTGTAATTAAACTTACAAACCGACAGATAAATACTTTGCTTAGTTATGGGGGATGGGAAAAATTGTTATAATCTTGCTACATGTTGCTACAGAGTGCAGAGTTAGAGTTTCGTGCACCTAACGGTTGTTTGTATAATCTAAAACTAATCGAGATAGATAAAGGGTTATATATATATATATATATATATATAAATCATTAGCATGAGGACCAATACCCTAGTGTCTATAGCTGACTTTTTATCGGTCAATATGTAAGATATATTTTACAATTGAAATTTCGAGAGCAAAATTTATAGTAAATCACACAAGAACAACTTGTATCAGAGAACGTAAAATAGTTATTATACGTTCTCTGTTTGTATGTTTACTGGCTCAGGTGACGCACACGCTTTGATATGACATAATTTAAAAGTCACGAGCTAACCTCACGCTAAGCTGGCTCTATAAAAGCTTACATGACTCTCGCAAGTCGATGTGATATGATGTCATGAGTTGAGCTAACGTGAAACTGGCTGCCAGCTGGCTCCACAAAAGAAACACAGGCACTGTGCCGGGTCAGTGCTTAGGTGACTTTCGCACCTCGTTGTGATGTGATTTAAAAGTCATGTGGTGACCTCTCTGGAAGCTGACTGCTAACTGGCTCTATAAAACAAAAGCAGTGCTTAGGTGACTCTCACCCCTCGGTGTGATGTTATTTAAAAGTCACGAGGTGACCTCACGGGCAGCTGGCTCTATATAAGTACCGTGCCTGGTCAGTGCTTTGGAGACTCTCGTGCCTCGATATGATGTGATTTAAAAGTCATGAGGTCGATGTGAACTATGTTGTTGTGAACTTAGCTAAATGTAAACAAAAGGTTCATTGACCTCATAAAATGTAAACAAAGCTGTCAGTGACCTCATAAAATGTAAACAAAAGGGTCATACAATAATCAAAATAAAGTACGTGTATGAAAAAAATGTAATTTTTTACAAGGTATTTTCACGAGCTTTGGCATAAAAAAAAGCTATAACCTGCGAACAAATTGTTCAGATCGGACCTCCAAAGCAAATAGCTGCCATATAAACTGACCGACCCCAAATCAAGTCCATGTATGGAAAAATATTTTATTTGTGAAAGGTATTATAGCTTCAGCGCAAAGGAAGTTAACTATTTTTCATGTTTAACATTTTTTCTTGTTTTTATTGTAAATTTACTTGTTTCTATACTGTTAACTTTTAACGTTCTAATTTCTTCTATGCATAGACTCTATCTAATGCAAATAAGAATATTTCTTTGTAAATCAGCATCTTCCCTCTAAAAATATTATTTAAATATAATAAGTTTTAATCTCTTCCTTTCAAACACCGGAAACATTTTCAAGTATAAGAACATCCTGTACGCCACTCATCTATACGCACATTCATAACTCCGTACGTCATTAGCAAGTATTTTTGGCTTAAAGCCGACGAAATGCCAATTAACCACTTTGTGGTTTATAACTTTAAATCCTTGCTAGGTCAAGTGATGGTAAAAAAAAAACAAAGCAGAAAGCAAAAATAACAATTTCAAAGCAAAAGATTGTCTTGAGCCAAGAAATAATTTCCTTACTGTTGCGCATGACTGCCTAACAATACACATTTGTCTGCAAACGATGAGACATTGCTCTCAAACCAAATCTATGAATGTGGCAATCCACAAATTGTGCGGCAAGCATAAAGAGAGTCTCGAGAAAGAAAAGAAATGCCAAAATAATGAATGTAAATAATACGGTAATGAAGGCAAAATGTACAATATGTACGACAACAAGTTATAACTCCATAAAGAAGTCGATACGTTGTGCAGATGATACCTTATTTATTGTGGCGTAAAGATCTGCCTTTGATATGGCAAATGTGCATATATTATGACTAAATATTTTGCAAATTGTAAGTATATCCTATAAACCGGATACTTATTTTACAAATGTGGAATTTTGAACATAATTATGCCTTATTAGTAAAAATAGAAGCTTAATTAAAGTATAGCTGAATATAAATAAATAAATTATATACAAATGTAGGCTTCAGTTTATTTATTACTAATATTTTTATTATTATTAATATTATTATTGTTATTGTTATTATTATTGTTATTATTAGTACTATTAATATTATTATGACTATCACTATTATTTATTAAGTTTTTTCTTGCATATATCAATTTTCAAGCTTTAATATGAATAAACACCGTGAATTACTACATTGCTTGAGAAATTATCACAATCAAAGCAATCAATAAATGCATGCATCAATTTCAAGGCCTTCATTTAAATAAACATAGTGAAATTATACGTTATTTGCGAAATTGCTACATTTTGTAGCCATATTGCCAATTTGCATACTCACGTAAAGTGGCTTTGAAACTTTCCTTGCTTGTTGCTGCTATAACCGTTTGCATGCAAATTCACGAACACCACCATTTTGCTAACACATTTGACTTGCCATAATGCAAGCATCTGTTTATACACTTCGTATTTTATTACTTAAAGCTTTTTGGTGTTTACTTTATGCTTTTGCAAATGCAATGTGGCTACTTTTTAAAGAAAACGCTATTTTATAATTATATCTGCACTTTATTTAACACTTTTCACATTTGAAACACACCACACCTCCAACCACTAGCAACAAATTTTCACTCTCACATTAAACTACACTAAACTTTCCTTACATTCACGCAATTGGCAACAAATGTTGCATAAATGACTAAACTCTTCACTTTTTTAACTATTTCACATAAACTATTGTTTAAAGACTGAAATACAATTATTTAAATTGAGACAAAGACAAAGCAAATTTCAACGAACGAAAACTAGTTCCGGTCACACAGCGTTAGTGCACCGGTGTTTATCGGTAATCGATGTTTGAAACGTTATTCAAATGGCGTAATATAATTAATTACGTTATAAAATTAAAAAATGCGTACGAAAGTATGCATATTGATTATTTTGTATTATATGTAAATAAACAGCATTTTTTTTTCTAAAAACTGGAAAAGTAAAACAAAATTTTATGATTTCCAAATTAAATTCTTAATCAAAAAAACTAATTTTGAAAAAAGTGTTATGTACATACATAGATAAATAACATTTTTTTTTGCCTACAATGAAAAATGGCCTGTGGCATACGCGTGGCCAACAACGGGTTGCATTTCTCGTGGTATGCACAAATGCGTCAAAAATCACCCTAAAACGGCAGGTGGTAATTTGTATGAGCAGCACGCCGAAATGATTATTATTTTTTTTATAAATATAGAGAATAATGACAAGAATACATAAATAAGCCGCCATATGTCATTATTTTGACGAATTCGTGCCTACAAATATTGCAATACAATTGATTTTGTACAGATTTAATCGCAAAACTGATCGATCTTTGTAACGGTAGAAGAGAAAGCTGTATTTATGTGCATATATAAGTGAAAGTATTGTATGAGTGTAACTACTAATTTATATAAATATATTAAAAATGATAGCTATGATACATAGCACATAATATATAATTTATGTAATATTAGTATTGCTAATTACTAATCGCGAAAAACAATCGATTATTGCACATCCATAACTGAAATTGCAAAATATACAATTGAGCAGCGGAAACAATGTAAAGCAATAGCAACGGATGTTAAAATCGAAATTATATATATTTTATGCTTCAATTAGTTGTTGTTATTTGCTAAATATGTAGAAACGTAGAAATTTGTTGTAGTGTTTTGTAATTATTTCCCAGCCTCTGTCCACTTTTCAAAATTTAGAATTTATGAAGCAGTTGAATTTTTAGCCGTCAACCACATATAAATTTGCAATATGTACGCATATATTCTTTTACAATATAAATTCATGCAGGCATATTATGCTGCACACCTACACACAAAAGGTTTTAATCAGTTGGCCCTTTTTCCGCTTGTCATTGCGACAATTGTGCACCAAGCGTCAGGCATACAATGCCAGACAATACTGGACATCAGTACAGTAACCATTGGTCAATAATCTCCACACGTACAAAAAATACACACTGCGCATACATAGGTATGGTATGTATACGTACGTTGAGGTTGCAGCAAAAGTATGGATTAACGTTAGCCATTAAATGGTCACAACGAATATCCCCTGCGATTGATATTGAAATGATAATAATTGAAAAGGTGGTAATTTATTGCAGGTGTGCGCGAAATGTGTAGTAGCTGGAAAACATAAGTTTGTGATTATTTTGTTGGTAAAATGTATTTTTAAGTTAACATACTCGTTGGGACTGATATGAAATTCTCTCATTTGCATAAAATCATAAAGTTGCTGTAGCCTAAGTTTTTGGCATTCAGCATTTATTAAACACAATACTCCTTTTTTCGCTTCGTTACCACGGTAATTACTTTATTTTGAGTTCAATTCAAAAATCTGCCCCATCATCGTTTTAATTGCCATTCAATACTCGGTCCCCATCGATTGGATCGCATGCTTGGCACGCGCGGTAAATAAATCCCTCGAAAATTAAAATCAACGCATGTCATACGTAAATAGTGATTTACCCCTACAAAAAAAAGCAGCCGCCCAAGGAAAATAGGTAAACAATAAAAGGAAAATAGTGATGCGCGAAAAACGCTAACTCATCCATTGAGCATACATTGCCTGTAAAAAGGGTTGAAGATATATAAAGTCATACGTTTATATACATATTTTTAAAAGAAGTGTGACCATGTTTACTTTGTTAAAGGATATTTTATTACTTCATATACATATCATATCATTTAGAAGAAAAAAAGGAAAATAGGTTCCACCACTTTTCTTCACTTCTTGATGACATGCGCCAAATCATATACGCCGCGCACGCATTTCAACTTCACGCCAGGCACATCTTGCAAACGACCGACGCGGCATAACACAATGTTGTGCTCTTGTAAGTTGTGTCCTTCGCCGGGTATATAAGCAAGCATTTCTTTGCCGGTAGATAAGCGCACGAGCACACATTTACGATTAGCGGAATTTGGTTTTTTCGGTTTTTTGATGAGTGTCTTAAGGACAACACCTTTCGCGAAAGGTTTACCATCAAGTGGTTGTCGTGGCGGACGCTTTTTAAAATGTGGACCAGTGCGGTGCATTTGGTTTAAGGACGCCATACGACAGGCCGGCTCGAATAGGCTGCCACTCTGGATGGACTGCAGTAGGTTGCCATTGAGCACTAAAGAAAAAGCAGTTTTCGTGATTATAGTATTTATTATTAATAAAACTAATATTTTGTAACTAAATGCCAATGCGCTATCCACAAACCTTTTTGTGACAACTGTTTCGTAACGCTGATAGTTTGCCGCAGGAAGTTCATTATGTCTCTAGTAATCTGTTAATATTAGAATAATAATCTATAATAAATTATTATTTGCACTTTATTAGCAATATATTTTTATTCAAGATAATTTATTTATTAAACAATTTAATATAAAAACAGCTCCGCAACCAGCTGAGATAACCAAGTGCTTATATTAGGTATATTCTTCTTCTTACCATTTAGGCAACTCGCAATAACATGTTGTCGTTAAAATAGGTACCAAAATATTATATATTTAAACTTACATATAAATGCGGCAATGTTATATTATTACTTTTTTCTTTTGAATTAAACCCGTTTTTTGCTGTATATAAATAAATAATCTATTTTCAATAATTTCAATTTATTTATTCGAATTTATTTGCGTACAAAGTTTTTCAAACTGTTTGTAATATCAGAGAACGTATATAATATACGTTCTCTGCTGCCGTGTTCATCCAGAGTTCTCTGGTTCATCTTACTAAAACAGCTGCGAAATGTTTTGCTGTTCTGTATTCTAGGCGGGTTTATTTAAACAATTGCACTTTGTTTATTAATTTGTCTTGTTGTTGTTATATTTGAATAAGTGAAATATTTTATATACAAATAAATAAAAATGAAATTTCTTGAATATGGCGAGGATTTTTTATTTGATGATATGCCAAAAGTCTATAACGTGAGTGTTGCGGCCTATTATATATAATTAACTTAAAATTAAATAATGCATTTACTTAAAGTCTACACAGAAAGTGTTTATTACACGTCTCTTTGGCTTGAATCAACTGCAGCTGCCCAAAAGAGTACCTAAAATATATACAAGCAAAGCGATTGCTTGGAGAATGAAGATCCATTTCAACACAAATAAAGAGCAGGTGTGCACAGAATTATACCTTTTTTTGCATATTTTCTCTATATATACTTATTTATATTTATATAGGTACTAACGGACGCTAATTTTGTCTATTTGGATCCTGCAAAAAATCCACATATCCTGCATCTCAGTGATGAAAAGCGCGTTAAAGTTTTTGTGTTTGAAGAACATTCAGCAACGCACAATATTATGGTGCTCATACAGAAAGGTTTTTATTTGTTGAAACACTCAGCTTTACTTTGTGATTTATAACAATATTAGTTTATATACCATGATTTTATAGACGGAAAAATTACACACTTGTACGCCGGCGCATGTGTTTTTGTACGCCAAATTTTACTTAACGATATGTTCGTGTCGTGTATTAGCACTGGTGTTGACAAATTATACATGGACTTAAAGCGTGCACTAACACCATGTAACCCTAATGAGTTAAATGACATCATAGATGAATTGTACCGACTGCTACAGTAAATATTATATAACATATCCTTATATTAACCATCTATATTTAAAATTTAAAATGTGTATTATTATTTTTTAATAAAAGCAAAGAAATTATTAAAATTCAACTGCTGGTGGAGTCTTTTGGCAGCGAAGAGTTTGTAGCCGAATTGGGAAACCAGCTACGCGGTTTAGTTCACCTCAATGACGCTTTTCTGAATTACAATGGCCATTTTTTGTGCCTGGAGCACTTCGAGATGGACGCTGAAATGGCACGCATATTCGTTGAGCATGCGCCAAATAACGAGTGCGCGAAACAGTATATTTGTAATAATTTAGAATAGAACATTTAATTATTTTTCCTTAATTACAGTTGTCATAACTCCGAAGTATTAGTTACTGTAAAATTAACTATGGACAAACGCAAAAAAGATAAATCCAATAACTACTTCGAAATGCATTATTCGCCTTTGCCGAGTCCCTTCAATTTAAAAGTGCTCGCCTCATCTGTATATCCGGCACACGTATACGGTATAACATATGGTAATATGGAACCGCCAAGTATACCTGAATATTTGCGCAGATTTTGCAGAATACCTGGCAGAGCACGTTTTACGCAAAAAAGGTGAATAAAGTTAATATAGAAAATTATATAACAACTACATATAAAAAATATATAAAATGTATACAGCAGATTGCGTCCGACCGATTCTGGCAAGCCATTGCCACCAGAAAAGATTAGCCCAAACAAGGATACGCCCGCGCATTACTGTATACGCAAACCAAATTTCGAATATCTGGATGATGAAAGCAATGGCGAATCATAGTTAACTAATTAATGTTGTTGATATTTTTCAAATTATTATATTTTTGTATGCTAATTAAAAATAATTTGTATTTTGCACTTAAATATTATTTTATTTTCATTTAAATATGCTAGTATAATATTCCTCTTCGAGATCATACAAATCCATTGCCATTTCATCGCGCAATTTCATTAGTTTCTTATCGCATTCCAATTGTTTCGAACGGAATAACTGTGAGTTGTTTGTGATCGCCTCATTGACGGAGTGAAAATCGTTTAAAATTAAATACTGTTTAATATCTGATACAAGCTTCATGAGTGACTCTCCGGCGCGTACTGAAAGCAAGAGAGCAGTCATTATAGCACAACTTATTGAAATTGTCGAGTTAATAATAATGGACTGATACAAGAGCTAGCATAGGTCGCTAAATATTTTTTGTTTTCGTATTCTGCAGCTTGTTCTTGCTATTGTACTTACCGATATTCGCCGCGCGCACCTGCATTTCATAAGTGTCCTGTTCACATTGTGTCGTCTTAGAAATTTGTGAATCGCCTTCACCGCGTGCTAGTTTGATGATCTCTGAAAGTATAAAAAAAAAAATTAGCAAAGTTGTAACGGGTATATACTCTTTAACTGCATATTATTGTAAAGTCTTTACAATACATAACATATCAATAACATGCCTATCTTATATAACAGAGTTTATATGATTTCTGCAGCAGCTGTTTGTTGGTCTTACATATGACCAAGCAAAATTGTATGTGCGTACATCATCAACTTAAACACAGTTGCTTTGTACCATATACTACATACACCAAAGAAAAAACACTTGTTTGCCAAGCATAACCCACTGCACAGTCAGCAGACAGAACTATTCAACGCTGAAACTTACTGCAGTATCGAGCAAATGGGTGGTCGTTTAACGCATTTATTTACACGTTGGTTCCCAAAAACTGAGCCGGAATTACGTGTCGGCATGCTAGGATTGGATAATGCTGGCAAAACAACCATATTATATCAATTGAAATTGGAACGGAACATCGAGCCGGTACCCACCGTTGGCTTCAATGTGGAAAATGTGCGTTGTGGTAAAATGGTGTTGAATATTTGGGATGTTAGTGGCGATCGACCACGTACACGTACATTATGGCAACATTATAATCAAAATACGCGTGCTATTATCTTTGTGATTGACGCAACGGATATGCGTCGTTTGCCACGCGCTGTGGATGAGTTACGTTGGTTGTGGTGTCGCCCCGAACTAACCGAAGCTGTCTACCTTTTATATGCTAATAAACAAGATTTGCCGGGCGCTCTGGGAGCTGAACAGTTGGTCACAATACTGCAGTTGCAGTCGTTATCGCAACAGTGGGCGATTCAAGAATGCTGCGCCATCAATGGTATGGGTTTAAGCGACGGCCTACAACAATTACAGCAAATGCTTACGCATAACCGTAGCAAGCGACTTAGTGCAACATTATCAAATAAATTATTTTAATTGTGCGCAAAATTTGATTTGCTAATCTGATTTACCTTCGAAATTCTCCAGCATGCTACGTACATCCTCCTTAAGACGTGTGTTATATGATTTCAATAATGCTTCTTTCGATTGTGGTAATGCCCGCACGCTACTGGTATTGCTGCTCATATTTAAAATTCCCGTATAAATAAAATCAAAAGTCAATAATGTGCTACTTATAAACAGAATCTAATTCGGGAGATGTTATTTTAAAGTTTACCCATAAAATCAAAACAAAACATTTGACAAGCTATAGTTTGGAAAGCACTAGTGTGTCTGATTGAATTTAATTAACCGTGCTGCCATTGAGTTCAACATTTATATTAGGTTTTATAAATGTAAAAGCGATAAATTGATAGTTATTACTAATTTCACACTGAAATAATAATTTTGCATTAAAGTCTTACATTAATTTAATGTTAATATTAGTAGCAAGCTAACCCACACATTTAGTTATACGCTATAAAAACGTACAACAGTCTGTGTACTAAACCCGCTGTTAAATTAACAAAGGAATGCCAAAAGTGACAAATGCACTATAAAATATAATAACACACCTAGACGCTATATAAAATTCAACTGCGCATGAATTTCATGATTTTTATGCCTATATTAGTTCTATATATTCTTATATATACATTCAGACTCGAAAAGCTTGTATAATATTTTTTAGTGTATATGCTGTTGTATACATTTAAAATCGAAAAATGCTAAGTAAAAGAAATATCGTGTGTTTATACAATTTATTATTTCTTTTAACGCTGATGTCAGCATCAAAGTTGACGAATATTGAAAACAACCCCACTCAAATTTATCTCCTGGGATTAAATGACGCTGGAAAAACTGCAATTTTCAACAGTTTATTAGGTAGAAACTTTACATTATCTCAACCAACAATCGGTTTTAATTTGGAAGACGTAAAATATAAGGATTTGAGCTTTTCTTTGTGGGATCTTGGAGGTCAATGTAGATTACGGTCATTATGGAAGCATTTTCTAAATGAAAATACAAATGGTATTATATTCGTAGTGGATGCAGCAGCTGGAAAAGAGCGGTTGAAATTGGCATCAAAAGTGCTACACGAAACACTTCAAAATGCTATTATACCCGACGAGCTCTTCCTTTTGGTTTTGGCAAATAAACAGGACGTGGATGTTAAACTAAGTGCAGCAGAAATAGTAGATGGTCTAAAATTGGTGGGATTAAAGTATGAATGGGAGCTGTTGAAGACCTCAGCAAAGCATAATACCGGTATAATAGAGTGTTTGGATTGCCTAAAACGAAAATTTAACTAGCGTAAATCAAGTATCAAGCGATTTAAATATATGTTTATTAATATGTATATGTATAAAATAAATGTAACTGCATAATGAAATTAGATTTGTTTCATTAATATAGATACAGTCGATCTTCTTTAAATATGTTAGGCATTTATAACGTTGGTACGCAATAACACAAACGCTTATGGTACTTAAGTAACGTACATTGAAACGTATTAAAATACAACACTGCATGACAGTTTAATTTTTCGTTCATTCGTTTTGCATCTGTTTCTGTTGTTTGATTTCGCTATTGGATTTCAAATAGTTTAGTTGTGCATTTTCTCCAACGTTTGTGAACAAAATTGTAATCAGAATATAATATATATAGTGCGCAAATAAATTAACTTTCTGCACTGATATTTGAAATTATAGAACGCAATGCGTTCGTTATTATACGTTTTATTCGCTTTGCTAGCGAGCGCTACTGCGCAAAAGCTGGAGAAGATGAATACGATTTCGGATAATATGGGCAAAGTGTATCACTATCAGCCGGAACAAGTGCACTTGGCATTTGGTGGTAAGTGCAACCATGACAATTATGTTTGGATTCTAATGAAAGTAAAAGATTATGCAAATAAATACATTGCATTGCATATATGTATATACATATGTTTGCTAATTATATTATATTTTTCTGCCATATACCTAAGTAAGTTGTTATTTAAATAATGATCTACCATATATAATAGCATATACTTGTACATTACTTGGTTGAAATTGCAATTGTGACTAATTATTTACAAGTGTTTTGCATATTTCTTCATAAAACTACCTACATATACATATGTTATATACATTTGTTTTGTTTAATTAAGCCTTGTATTTACTCTTTCAATAATTTCGCTGCATTTATTTAACATTTCACATGCGATAATTGTAGGCGATTTTATTTCCGTGTTGTTATTTGTTTAACGGCGTACTTTGCAGGGCGTTTATTTTGATTTATTTGTATTTTTATAACTAAGTCTGTGTAATTTTAAAGTTAATTCTAATGTTTCTTTAGCAAAGAGTCATAAAATAAAAAAAATTTAATAGTTATCGGCCAGTGTGCGCTGAGTGTATGTTCATGTTATGTACGTTATGTTTATGTATGTTAATCTCTACAGCTGAGGCTTATCACTAAGCGCTCAAAGGGAAAATATGCATTTAAAAATAGTGCATTGTTTGCTTTGTTGATAGCTTTGCAATTTTGCAAAATCAAAATACATCACATTACTCACAAAGAAATACTATACACATCATTCAGGAACATGATAAGATATTTGTAACCCAGTTTTTTAAAAGGTTACTTACACTTAACGCGAATTCGCAATTTGAAACGTTATTTATTTTTTACACTTCGTGGCTTGTGCCTGATAAGCGAATGTATGCCATATGGCGGGCCTCTATTTATAATTCGAGTGCAAGCAATGATAAGAAAACAATAGCAATGACCAACAATTAAAAGGAACAATGAAACATTATATAACAAAATGCAATAATTGTGTATAAGTTAAATGCAATTGAATGATAATTTAAAGAAATTTATGCTTGAATTATGCAAATTCGTAAACTTTTATAACACAATTACTATTTTCAAATTTCTTTGTTGCACAAGCGATCATGTCTTTTCTGTTTGCCACTACTGTATTTACAGAAAAGTCCAATGAAGTTGTTGTAACTTGGTCCACACGCGACGATGCCATCGAATCCATTGTCGAATACGGTTTCGTTAGCTTAACGCAACGCGCTAATGGCACATCACAGCAGTTTGTGGATGGTGGAGATAAGAAAAAGTCACAGTATATACATAGGGTAAAGTTACTACTGTAATTTTTGTTATATGGCATTTCCAAATCAAGATAGATGAGTGGTGTCTAAGTGCTTGAGTTGGTTCAATTTGTGTGACCTTGCGTTCTTAAACGTATTTACTCCACTTACTCTACTGCTTTACATTGCATTGTTAATGTTTTCTTGTGTATAATTTGTTTGTATTTGATAAAACATACATTTTTTCGATTTCTGCTTTCAAATTATAAACAAATAGGTTAAGTTACCGAATCTTTTGCCAAACCAAACGTACTTCTATCATTGTGGTGGCCAATTGGGTTGGTCACCGCGTTTCGAATTTCGCACTGTGCCCGCTGGTGACGATTGGTCACCCACTATTGCGCTCTATGGTGATATGGGCAATGAGAATGCGCAATCGTTGGCACGTCTGCAGCAGGACACGCAGCGTGGCATGTATGATGCCATAATACACGTCGGTGATTTCGCTTACGATATGAATACCGATGATGCACGTGTGGGTGATGAGTTTATGCGTCAAGTGGAAACTATTGCGGCCTATGTGCCATACATGGTGGTACCAGGCAATCACGAGGAGAAATAGTGAGTAGCAGTGTTGAGAAAAATTCAAAAATTTATACAAATGTGTGCTTGCAGCAATTTCTCGAACTATCGCACACGCTTCAGCATGCCAGGTGGCACAGAGAATCTATTCTACAGTTTTAATTTAGGGCCCGTGCATTTTATCGGCATTTCCACTGAAATGTATTATTTTCTTAATTACGGCTTAAAAACACTCGTTTTTCAATATGAATGGCTGGTGAATGATCTGTTAGAGGCCAATAAGCCTGCGAATCGTGCGCGCCGCCCATGGATAATTGTCTATGGCCACCGACCAATGTACTGCAGCAATGGCAACGGTGACGACTGCACGCATTCAGAGACACTGACGCGCGTCGGTTGGCCTTTTTTTCACATGTTCGGTCTGGAAGAGCTCTTTTATGAGCAGGGTGTCGATGTCGAAATATGGGCCCACGAGCATTCCTATGAACGTTCTTGGCCCATTTACGATTACAAAGTGTGTAATGGCTCGCTGGCCGAGCCTTATCGCAATCCATGCGCGCCCGTGCATTTGATAACGGGTTCTGCCGGCTGTAAAGAGGGACGTGAGCCATTCGAAAAAGATACGCCTTCCTGGAGTGCCTTTCACAGTCAGGTGTGTAGTGTATGAATTTGAATTTGTTTACATTTTATTGTTTTGCGCATTCGCAGGACTACGGCTATACGCGCATGAAGGCCTACAATCGTACACATTTGTATTTCGAGCAAGTGTCCGATGACAAAAATGGTGCCATCATCGATGCTTTTTGGATAATCAAAGACAAACACGGCAGTTATGTTTAATATGGGGTGTGTGACAAGGCTTTTAACATTTAGTGTGTGTAGCATACGCCAAAGTGAGCGTAACAAAAGCGGCGCACCAGAAAACGCATTAATTAAAAATCTTAGCACAATAAGCATTTAGGAAGCACAAAAACAAAATATTATAAAAATTGGAGCATTTGAGGGATACAATCAGGGTTGCATTTTTTTAAATAAAAAAACAGAAAATTTTTTTGGTTTAAAAATTAAAATTTCAAATTTTCAAATTTAAAAATTAAATTTTGTATTTTTAAAAATGTTCACTTTTAAGGATTACACTTTCTATTTTAAAGTATTATCAATTTTAAAAATTAATAACATATGTATATAATTTTTATTTTTAAAAAATTTTAAAGATTTAATTTTCAATATTAAATTTTTTATTACAATTTGGAGAATTTAAAAATTACAAATTTCCAATTTAAAAAAATTACAAATTTCCAGCTTAAAAAATTTTAATTTTTCAATTTTAAAAGTTTAATTTTAAATTTTTAATTACGATTTTGAGAATTTTAACATGTTTAGAATTAGAAATTCAAATTTAAAAAAATTTAAAAATTTTCATTCTAAAAAAATTTTAAATTTTCAATTAAATAATAATTTTTAAATTTATATATATCTATATATATATATTATTTTAAAAATTTCAAAATTTCTATTTAAAAAAAATTTCAAATTTTCAATTTTTAAAAAAGTTTCAGATTTTAATTTTTTAATTCTAATTATGAAGAATAAAAAATATTTTGAATCAAAATTTCAGGATTTATGAAAAATTGGAATTTTAATTTTAAATTAAAAAATCTGATAAAAAATTGGTTAAATATAAATAGTTTGAAGGTGAAAGTTTACCGACCACTCGCTCTGCGCGAGCTCTAGTTTAAAATGGTAGAACACGAAATAAAATCAATTTTTTTTATTGTATTTTTTAATCATAAACTTAGTTTTCAATCCGGTAATTGGGATTAAAAAATACTTATATATTAATTTTTGGATAAGTAAGTTCGAAAACAATTTTTAATTAAGATTTTCGCGTTTACAAAGAAAAATAATTTAAATGTTAATTGCGTTATTTGCGACCCTGGATACAATTACATAAAAATCAACATTCCATTTCATAGTTTAACGAAATCGGCTTTTCACAGTATTAAAATTTACGAAACATTTGTACCTAGCGAACTGTAGCGAATCTCAGTATACTTACAATTTTATTCTATTTACGTTATACTGTCTATATGCCTTTAGGTATAATATTATTGACATAAAAACGGCATGAACGTCTTTTATAATACTTATGCTTTTACAATTTAAGCAATAACAATGTTGTGTGTATAATTGTTTTTGAAACATAACTGTATGATTTAATATTTAAGTGTCAATGGTGTATGCGATTTAGTGAATATTTTGTAACAAAAAATTAAATTTATTCAAATATTGAATAAACGTTTACTTCTGGAAAAATAAATATGATTTTCAGCAATTTATTGGTTTCATAAGTGTTACGTCATATAAGAGTTCATAGAGCTTTACGGGTGTATATTTTATAGCATAAAATGCTATAATATCTAGATTTTGATCGTTCAGTTTATATGGCAGCTATAAGCTTTAGTTAGATAGATAACTGCGGTTTCGACAAATGAGCAGTTTCTTTTGGAGCAAAAGACGTGTGCAAAATTTCAGAGCAATATCTCAAACACTGAGGGACTAGTTTGCGTATATACAAAGGGATGATTGAGCGCTCTGAATGGGGTCATCTCGTCACGTTGACCGTTTATATATATACTTTATAAGGTCTGCAATTGGTGCATACACTTTCAGTAACGAGCTGATGTCCTAGAATAAATATCTAATTTTGAAAAAGTCTCGATATATTTTACTATACTAAAATTCTTAATATTTAGGTTAGTATATAATCTTCTGTTCGCTTCGAACTCGGTGTTTCTTAATATTTTTTGAGCACATTAAGGGGTTAGTGGTAGTCAGAGGCACGAAAAAATGAGAATTTTCAGTAATTTTTTTTTGCTATTAAATCGTGTGATTTTACAAAAGTAATAATATGGCATTATTATACAATGTTTTGACTTGAAGTCACGAAAATTTAAAAAAAAAGTACTTGCAGTGACAATCATAAGTCCTTGGAGATTCATCTAAAATCAATCGGATAAAAAAAATTAGTTTTGTAAATAGATAATCCTGGGCCTAATCGAAGCTTTTTTTCAAAAATTAACAAAATGGCGGCCTCAGGAAATTTTTTTCTAGATTTTTGGGAAAAAATTTACAGTTAATAGTCGGTCTTAAAAAATCGAAATTTTTGAAAAAAAAGATTCTTCGATCAGGCCCGAGTGTATTATATATTCTTAAAGCTGTATAAATTTCATTAAAATCTACTGAGCGGTTTTCGAGTTACAATTTTCACCAGTTCGAAAAACATAGTTTTGAGAAAAACGCATTTAAATTTTCTTGCAGCTAGCGCTAGCTACCTGCTCCCGAGCACTTTAAAGTGCCCGATCGCTCTTTGTTATTTGTCGAATAACTCAAAAAGCAATTATCGGATCAACTTGAAATTTTCAGAGAATATTTTCGAGATATTACACTTAACGAAGATGCAAAAAAAAAAAAATTTAATTTTTGAAAATTCTGAATAAACTTATTACGAAAATATCAAACACACTTTTTGCAAATATTTTGTTTTTAAAGAAACCACACGCGACATCGTTGTAACTTGGTCCACACGCGACGATACTAAAGCGTCTATCTGTGAATATGGCCTTGAAACGTTTGAGTTTATGCAAAATGCAACAGAGCCACCAAAAAAGTTTGTGGATGGCGGCAGCGCGCACAGCGCACAATACATACATCGTGTAAGTACATACTTGTTATTGCGCTATTTTCCTTTTCTACCCTATTTTAAATACGCTTTCTACTCACTACACCAGGTGACCTTGTCCAATTTGGCACCAGAAAAGCGTTATATTTACCATTGCGGCAGCACGCTTGGCTGGTCGCCGCAATTTTGGTTCCGCACACCACCGACGCATGCGCATTGGTCACCCACGCTGGCGATTTACGGTGATTTGGGCAATGAGAATGCGCAGTCATTGCCGCGCTTGCAGCAGGACACGCAACGCGGCATGTACGATGCGATTTTGCATGTGGGCGATTTCGCTTACGATATGCATTCGGAGAATGCCGCTGTTGGCGATGAGTTCATGCGTCAAGTGGAGGCCATAGCAGCTTATGTGCCCTATATGGTGTGTGCGGGCAATCATGAGCAGACCTAGTGAGTGTTGAACAGCGCAATATATACATTATTTTCACTTATATGTATTTCCACACAACATTGTAGCAATTTTTCGAATTATCGCGCGCGCTTTCACATGCCTGGCGGCACGGAAAATCTATTTTATAGCTTCGATTTGGGTCCCATACACTTTGTTGCCTTCTCAACGGAGCTCTACTACTTTCTACACTATGGCTTGAAGAGTTTAGTTTCGCAGTACGAGTGGCTGGTGCGTGATTTAGAGATGGCGAATCGACCAGAGAATCGCAAAGCGCGTCCTTGGATTATAACCTTTGCACATCGGCCGATGTATTGTAGCAATAATAATGGCAATGACTGTTCAAAGCATGAGACGGTTGTGCGCACTGGTTTGCCGGTGCTGCATATGTTCGGCCTGGAGCAATTGTTTTATGAGCAGGGCGTCGATGTGGCAATATGGGCGCATGAACATTGCTATGAGCGCTTGTGGCCCATTTATGATTACAAAGTGTTTAATGGCTCTTTGGCCGCGCCTTATCGCAATCCACGCGCGCCTGTGCATATCATAACCGGTTCGGCGGGTAATAAGGAGGGGCGTGAGCCTTTCTTTAAAGTGATGCCCAAGTGGAGCGCGTTTCACAGTCAGGATTTCGGTTATACACGTCTCAAGGCGTATAACGGCACACATTTATACTTTGAACAGGTGTCCGATGACAAAGATGGACAAATTATTGATGCATTTTGGGTTGTCCAGGACAAGCATGGCAGTTATGTCGAGGAATAAGCGTAAAGTGTAAAGAGACATGAAAAATAACAATAATAATAATTTTGATATTTTAACTTATTTTCTATCTTATATACAATAACGGTATAAGCTGTGAATTTCACCAAAAATTTTGCAAACTAGTTCTGCAAAAGCAAAGTATTTAGTCAAAAGTAATCTCTAATCCCATAATATTATATGTTTGTATTTTTTTATTATATATTTATGCATTTTATGACAAAAACTATCAAAATATATTTTAAAACTACAAAATATGCATTCCTAATAGAAAAAAAATCATAAAACGATGGCTGTGTGAAAATTTGCCTTGTAAACGAAAATTTTAAAATTTAAAAATTAAATTTAATTTTTAATGAAATTTAAAAATTAAAATTAATTAAATTGATTTAAAATAAATACAACTGAATTAAATTTTATTGTGAAAAGTCTTTAAATAATTTTAAAAAGCTCCTATCAACATTTTTATTAAAAAAAAATTAACATTTGTTTCAAAATTATGAAATTAATTAAAAAAACATGTAACAGCAAAAAAACTTAATGAATATTTCTTTTATATTGTTTCAACTAAACTATCGTTTTTTATGTTTATGTTATTTGTTTATGCCTCTTATTTTATTATGTTTGTATTATTTGTTTATGCCACTTGTTTTTTTTATTCATTATAGCAATAATTTTTCATTTATTTTTTATTATTTCATTAATTCTCTTATTTTTTTGTTTTAATATTGTAACATTTATTAATGTTTTATTTTATTTTTTTGTTGTTGTTACTGCATTTAATTAATTATAATTTATTTATTTATTTTTTGTTTTTGTTATTGCATTTTTGTTTTGATTATTATTATTTTTACTTTTTATTTTATTTTTTATATATATTTTTTCAATTATTTATTTTTTATTATATTTTTTATTTTTCAATTATAAATATTTTACACTTATAACTCTGCATTTGCCAAATATTATATATTTTCTATTATATACAAATATTTATATTATTAAATAATTATTTACAATTATAAATATACTTAATCTCAATTATTAACAAATAAAAGCCATATTACAAAGCATGTCGCCGCATGTGACTATTATTTGTAGGAAAAAATTTATTTTACCAAACAATTTAGCTTTTCAACTTAATCTTCAATCAAAATTAAAGATTTTTCATCCTATTATACCCTGAACATTAAGTTTGCCACGCAGTTTGTCATACGCAGAAGCAAACATCGGAGACCCTATAAAATATATAGCTGTGCCGATTTAGCCATGTTCGTCTGTATATGTGCGAACCAGAGCCTTAGCTTTTGAGATATCGCTCTGAAATTTTGCACACGTCTTTTTCTACACAAGGAGCTGCGCATTTGTCGGAAGTGCCGATATCGGACCACTATAGCATATAGCTGTCTTACAAACTGATTAATCGAAATCAAAAAAAGTTCTTTGTATAGCCCTTTTGTGATATAAAAAATTAAATTTTTGTTTTATATGGAAACATATGCTAGGTTGGGCTGCTTTTAATCTCAACTGTTATATATGTATATGCAAGATATTGTGTGTTGTTGTTATTATTATTATTGTTGTTGCTAATGTGGCATAAAACATGCATACACTTTATATATGCCACTGAATCCAGCCCAAGTTGATTATAAATCAGTGTTCGTAATTTGCATCACATCATATGAGGCTAAGTTAGGTTATTCGATTTGCATGAATGTTCGACTTAAAGAAATAATATTTTACCAAGCTAACTTAAACTGATTCGAAAACATATAGTAACTCTCGTTAAGCTTTAATTATACTTCATACGATTTGAGCAGGTGTAATGTGATGTGTTGATTTTGATATACATATGTAAATACTTTCTAGGGTTAAGTATGATTTCATGCAATGTGCGTGTTGTTGTTGCTGTTATGTCGAAGTTGTAATGTGAGTGATGCAATGTGCTGTTATGTATAAATTTATACACTAAATTGTACTAATTTTTTTATTATGTTGCGATTTGATGCGTTATTGGTGATGTGATATTATGTCATATGCCATGTTGTGATGTGATGTGGTGATGTGACCTATATTATTTTTTTCTGGCTTTTTATGCAAACATTTTTTAACTTCATGTCAACTTATTTTAACGCTTAAACAGCTTTCAACATGATATGCGATCATTATTGTGTTGTTTATAGTGATGTGATGTACCTTAACATACACTTAAGTTTTAATTGAAAATCATTTATATGTACATATGCAATTTCTTTCACAAGATAACCTCTCTGACATTGTCGTCACCTGGTCCACACGCGATGCCACCAACCAGTCAGTCGTGCTGTACGGCGAAAACTACGCCGACGCAAAGAGTTTGGTCAACGTCACAGGCGATGCGCGTCGTTTTGTCGATGGCGGCCGCAAGCATCACACACAATACATACACAAAGTAACGCTGCGTTTCTTGAAGCCGCAGACGCGTTATGAATACTCGTGTGGCAGTGAATTGGGCTGGTCTGCGCGCTTCAGCTTTACCACGCCGCCGGCAGGCAGCGACTGGCAGCTGAGTTTGGCCATCTTTGGCGATATGGGCAATGAGAATGCGCAGTCATTGGCGCGTTTGCAGCAGGACACGCAGCAGGGTATGTACGACGCCATCATACATGTGGGTGACTTCGCTTACGACATGGATACGGAAAATGCGCTTGTGGGCGATGAATTTATGCGGCAAGTGGAAACGATTGCGGCCTATGTGCCATACATGGTGTGTCCTGGCAATCACGAGGAGAAATAGTGAGTGTGCAAAGCGTTGCTAATATTTATATTTGTTAAATAATAGAAAAAAATTTTAAATGCTTAGTAATTTTTCGAATTACAAAACGCGTTTCAATATGCCCGGCGAAAGGGATAGCCTGTGGTATAGTTTTGATTTGGGGCCCGTACACTTTGTGTCCTTCTCCACCGAGGTCTATTACTTCTTGAAATATGGCTTCAAATTGCTTACGAAACAATTCGAGTGGCTGGAGAATGATCTGCGTGTAGCCAATAAACCGGAGAATCGTGCACAACGCCCCTGGATCATAACTTATGGTCATCGTCCGATGTACTGTAGCGACGACAAGGAGTACGATTGCAATGAGAAGTTGGAGACATTCATAAGACAGGGTTTGCCATTGGTGAAAATGTTCGGTTTGGAGGATTTGTTCTACAAAAATGGCGTCGACGTGGAGATCTTCGCGCACGAACATTTCTACACGCGCCTCTGGCCTATTTATGATTTCAAAGTGTATAATGGTTCGACAGCAGCACCTTACACCAATCCTAAAGCGCCGATACAGATCATAACCGGCTCGGCTGGCTGCAAAGAGCAACGCGAACCATTCTCCGAGACGCTGCCCTCGTGGAACGCCTACCACAGCAATGTGAGTGTGTGCTAGTTTCAATGTCTGCAGTTCTTTTTTATAATTTTTTTTTTTATAAATCTTTTCACGATTTAGGATTATGGCTACACGCGCATGAAGGCCTACAATAGCACACATCTGTACTTCGAACAAGTTTCGGATGATAAAAATGGCGAAATTGTCGACTCGTTTTGGATAATCAAAGACAAGCATGTGGCTTACAATGAGTTGTGAAAGACAACGCCGGCGGTGTGTTAAATAAATAACTGTACTTTTGAAATTTGGCTGTAAAACGGGCTGCTTGAAATTTGAACAACAAATGGAAGAACAAACATATTTTTGAACAATAGATATTACAATAATTTACTCTTACCTAGCTGGACCTTATAATTATAGTTATTTCTTTTAAAAAATTAATTTGCTATAAATGTAACTTAAAACACTAATAATGTAGAAATGGTTTTATGCAATAAAAAATATTTAAGTAAATAAAATTAGAAAAATTATTTTAAACAATATTTTTGTATTTCGACTTAAATTTTTTTAAACTTTTCTTTAAAAATTGAATATATTTTTTTATTAAAATTTTTTTTTTTAACTTAGAAAATAATATTTTTTTTTGAGTTACAACACAAATAGTATTTTAATAGTATTTATATTTGTTTTCTAAGTTAAAAAAATATATTCTTTTCTAAGTTAAAAAATTTTTAAATATAGTATATTAAAAAAAAATGATTTAAAACTTTTTTAAACTTTTTTTCAATTTGTTGTTTTTTTAAAAAAAAATTTTAAACATAAAAAAACATATTTTTTTAACATAGAAAAAAAGCTATATTCATTCCTCAGTTTTCATTTTATTTTAGAAATTTTTAATCAGCTTTGCTTATTAATTTTTGAAAGATTATTTTAAAAAATTATTTTTTTAAACTTACAAATTTATTTTAAACTTAGAAAGTGTTTTTTTTTAACTTAGAACTTTTTGTTTTACTTAGAAAAAAAAGATAATATTCACATTTAACATTTAATTTTTATATTCATTTGTTTATTTTGCTAAACACAAAAATAAAACAAAATTATAAGCGTTTTCGTTTTTTTAACTTTTATATTATTTATTTTTATTTTTCGAAAAATTTTCTAATGCATTCTTTTGATGTTGAGACTTTTTACAGAATTCTAATTGGAAAGAAACAAGCAAAAAAACTATCATTTATTTTATTAATAATTATAGTTTTAATTTATTCTATTTATTCAGTATGCATTACAAAAATCGAAATTATAGGCAGTATTCTATGACCAACTCAGCCTTGTCCGAGTTTGCGCACAACTAACGCATACGCCCAAGCTGCGTTTTACCGTTGGTCCTTCAGTAGACTGTGCCCGAAATGCCCGGCCCATATTGATAGCCAGTGCCGGCAGTAACACCACCTACTGGCGGCACTACACCACCAGCATAGCCGCCCAAACCGCCACCTACCACGCTGTTGGTGTAACCGCTGTAATAGTTGGATGGATAATTGTAGCCCAAGCGCGAGTAGGGATAACCGCCACCAAAGCGTGCATTGTAGTACGCGTAAGGGCTGCCATAGCCGCCATAAGGACCATAGCCAGCAGAGCCGTAACCAGCATAGTTGCCATAACCGCCATAACCGCCGTAACCACCATAACCGCCGAGTCCACCAAGCCCAGCAGCGCCAGCATAACCACCGTAACCACCATAACCGCCATAACCGGAGGTGCCGTCTTTAAAATAGTAAAATAGAACCAAAATTAAAGTTGCAAAATTTTTTGAACGCAATGCCACGGTCGCCTACCCAAACCAAGTCCGAGACGCGACGAATACGGATCCCAGGTGCCACCAACGTAACGTTTCTCTTGCTTATGTGTGTCCTCCAGCGGGTTCAGGCTGCTGGCTGCCTCCTCCAGCTGCTCATCGCCATTCGCAGACGCTGCGACTGCGTTATCCAGCGCGGCATCGGCGTAGGTGGTTGTTGTGATGGCGCAAAATGCGAACAAAGCTGCGATTAAGGGCTGCATTTGGCGGTAAACGCACACACGAAAGGAAAAAATAAGCACAAAAAAACAAATGAGAGTTAATTTTTAATAAATCCAATACACTTTTCAAAGTTAGTCCTTTATAAACACAGGTACGAGTATATCCTTGCTTTTGACACTTACGGCGCACTTCATTTTTTTTATTTGATTTACTTCGTTCTTGTTACACACGTAGAATTTAGCACTTTCCGTTAGCTAAGTACCTTTAACTTCGAATTCGAGTGACTGAATGTCGTTTACCAGAAGCTTAACGGCTTTTATATCTGCTGGAAATCGCTTCGTTGGGGCGGCAACGCGGCGTTTCTCAGACTTTCAAACCCGCCGCTGTGCACATAAGTACGCCATTGTTGTTGTTGTTTACAAAAATTGTAGTGTTTTTGCATTTGTTTTTGCTTATTTGACACGCCGAGGCGCGAATTATTTAGACGAAAGTTTTTGTTTTCCCATTTTTTTTTTGTGGAAATGAATTTTAGAGTGTTATTAGCGAGTAACGCATCGGTTTCAGAATCTCTGCCGCCAATACTAGGCTGTCTGATTAGTGCGTGTTCGTCGGTGTTTGTGTAAAGTGCTGGCTTGAATTGAGCACACTTAACTAATCATGTATGAAATTTGATAGGCACGAACCTGAAAGGAGCTGAGCTTTGCTGTCGATGGGAAAATATTGAGCTGAAGAGGTGAGGTTAGTTGCTGTTCCAAAATACTTCCTTAAATAGGTTTAGAGAAAATCTGCAAAGCTGACAGTCCTTGGCAGACTGTAAATTCCTGTACGTCCCATTTTGTTTAGCTAAAAGTACACAGCAATGTTCAGGAAATATAAAACCTCTAGCTATGTTTTCTAGTATAACACCTTTCTTGGTCCCGGCGAGTTTCTGTTTAGTATTGGGCTGTATATATACAGAAGCTTGTTATAATTTATTATAGCGTATGTTCAACAATAGGTCTAATAAGCGAAGAGTTCAATAATATATGTGATTTACTATGGAATTTAGAGCACCTATAATACTTCGAAGGAAACTTTGTTCACAGAAAGCCGAACTAGCTGTTTTTATTGTTTTGCGCTTTAGTTTGCGTGAGAATTTTCTACAAAATTACGAAATCAGCAATTCCAGCGGTTTTGTGTATTGTAAATAGCCAAAATATTTCGTTTGTATGTGTGTTTACTGTTTGCGTTTTACTAGCAAAATGTTTTTTAAACTTATTTGTAATCAAATAAAACTACATGTTTCTAATTTGCTAAAATTTTCGTACATATTTTACTAAAAACAGCATACATCGTTATCTACACGCATGCGCTACACACACCCGCTCATGGTCGTACGTGTGCATTGCTGCCCTTCGTGCCGCTAGCGCTCGCCTACGAAAAAGCGCAAAGAAAATAACAATGCTTTGCTTTATCCTATGCCGCAATGCTGCCATTGCGCCCACCACCGCCCGCCGCTACTCTTTTAAAGACCTATTTTGAAGACGCATGCCATTTGTGCCGAAAAAGTGTCACTTTGCGCTTGATTTTGTAATGTGTACAAGCAGAAATGAGTAAGTAAATACATTTTAAGTTTAGTATTTGCTTGTAAGTAACCAAAAACAATGAATTGTAGTAAATGGTGTAGTTGTTGCTGGCTATTAACCGATTTTTGACCTTTGAGGTAGTTTTTATTGCGCAAAAAAATGTATTTCAAACTATTTTGTGCCGGAAATTCGACAAATAATTCTTTGTAATTTGTGAGGAAATCTTGATATGCTCTGTCTGCAACACAATTAAATGATTTTCTTTTTTAAATTGAAATTTGCATTTGTGACTTTTGTTTATTTTCATATATGTTAATTTATTTTGATTTCGTTAGCAGTTATAACGCATGTGGTAGCGCAATTACGGTATATCCGCAAAGGTCTTCTTAAACGTCATTTGCGTAAAGATAAAAGTTGCCACATGGCAGGGAGACAGAGTGACGTTTTTTTTCGTTTACTGTAAATGGCCTAGAGAAACTCAACTCAAATACAAAAAAAAAAATATATAAGAAATATATATTTACATATGTTTGTGCATGCTTACTTGTAAATCACAATTTTTTTGCGCGTACAATATATTCTATTGTTTATTAATGGCAGCGTTAAATATGTTAAAAATATATGTAAATAAACAGCAATGGTGAGGACCAAATGAAAGTACACAAGGCTGACATACTGAGATTTTTTCTTACATACTTACATGTTATACATGGTCTTCAAACTCCGAAAAACTTTAAAATATGCATATACCTAGCACATTTTCCCCAAATTTGTACATATACATATATGAGTAATAAACAATTTTTCAGTTACAAATATTTGGAACAATGACAATTACAATTGCGGTCATACCAAAGCTGTAGAAATATTTTCTAACAAATCGCACACTTCTATATTCTATACGATGATGTAATTTTCTTTAACTCATTATTTTTTAAGAGTTAATATATTTGAAAAAAGTGAAAGCGTAAAAAATATATTAATTTTTTTAAAATTTATTTTCGTTGAAAAAAAAATTTAGCAGCCTGCGCTAAATTTAAACGTTACGCTTTTTATTTTTATTTGTCATTAAATGAAACGAGACGCGAGAGCAAATAATGCATTTACATATGTACATAAATTCGTATGACACGAGTGTAGCTAACTAACTACCTATTTCATACGAAGTGCGATTAAATCAATTTATAGCGCTTAATGAAGTAATTGGTTTTAATTGTATTTAGGTAATAGTTAAAATGTAAATAGTTAAGCAAATATAACAAAATTATAGCAAAAAGCGTAATATTAGCTAATTAAACGTAGATAAATGTAAATTTAAGTGTGTCAGGAAAAAAAACAAAATCGTGTGTTTTGATAAGAACTTAATATTACATATAACAGTATTGGTCGTTGCTAGTTTTTACCATATATTGTATACAAACAAATTAATTTATAGCCTCTACTTGTTTACTTTACATTTTATGTGTTTTGTTTATTATATTATTTTGTATATTAATATGAATTTAAATTTAGCAATCCACATATTTTCATGTATGCAAGTGCACACTATTATTATCGCCTTCGATCCTAACGGCAATGTCATATCGATTAATCGTTATTGTTTACATTCGAATATGAGCCGCAATTTTAAAAATTATGTGGTTTTTTAATATTAAAACACAATTTCAGCATTTTGTTGAAATATGTTAAAAAATAATTTGTTGTGCATAAATAAATAGCAATTTCAAGTAGTCGTGTGCCATTACAGTGCATCAAGTAGAGTTCGCTGCTCAACTCTTTCGAACTGCAAGCAAACCATTGCAGGCATCAGCAGAATAGCAAGAATGAAGTGATATTATTCACGGTATGTTATAGTGAAGAAACGTGAAGAAAAGCATAACGTGACGTTTTTAACTGCCGTTTGGTTTTGAAATATTTCATTTATAAATATTTATTTTTATTTTAAAGGTTACATTCGCCTTAGAAAAGTGTGTTCGCGAGTTTAATAGCAATTATCAATAATTAAAGTAAAAAAATAAACTGTGTGTAAATATACATACAATGATACGCTAATCAATCACGTTTTGCTTTAAAAACTAACTTTTAACTATATAGAAGATATTCAATTAAATCAAAAATTAAATATAATAAATCTCTTTAGCGGAAACCAATTTGACGTCATTACTAGCAACAATAATGCTATATACACATAAATAAATGTAAACAATGCAACGTAAATTTAAAAAAAATCGTCAACAATGGATGCAGATATGTTTATACAATGTCTGTGATTACAGAGTTGCTTAGTGCATTCATATAAATTAAAATTAATGTTATCGTGTATATATGTATGTATATGTATAAAGGAGAGAGTGTATTTCACAAAGCAATGTGACGAAGTCATATGTGTTTTGAAAAAAGTTTACAAAAATACTTACCAGCAATGGGTAACTATTACTAAGCTCCCGTAAAAGCAACATATTATAAAACAGCGTGTTTTTTCGCTTCTTTTTTATTTTATAAATTAACTTTGACATTAGAAGAATTAATTGTGGGAAGTAACAATGATCAAGTTCTTACAATTTTTGTTTGCAAAAATTTAAAATTTTTAATTTCAGTTATAAGTTCAACATGACATTTACATATATGTATGTATGTTTGCGCTAGAAGCAATCCGCCTATATGTTTACATATCGTTATGTGCCTACAGAGTGCATGCATTGTACCTGACATTCATATACAGCGCCCTACAAGGTTGCAATCTTCACAATTCCCACCCATTAATCCATACGCTAGTTACATAAACACAGTCACACACTCACTTGTGCACACATTAGCTACTGCCAGTTGTATTCACAAATTTATGGTACTAGTGCTACTTGGAAAAGTTTGTGGTTACTTCTCTATGACTCGTTCAAGGCAACTGTGGGGTGGCCCTCAGTAGGCGGCACGTCAACATAGTTCAACACTTGTAAAGTGGAAATGCATATTTATGCAATTTGAAATTAACTTTTTAACTTATTTACATTTTTTTTTTTTAAAACAAAAAAAAGTAATTAAAAAAATAAAAATAATTAATAAAAAATAGTTATTAAAAATATTTAATTATAAAATAAAACAAAAATTAATATTAAAAAAAAAAATGAAAAAAGAAATAAACAAAAACATAATAAAAAAAAAAGGAAATAAAAACAATTTAAGAAAAAGTAATTTAAAAAAGAATTTAGAATAATTAAACAAAAAACTATTTAAAAAAATAATTAAAAAAAAAAATTATAAAAAAAAATATAAATAAAAAAAATATATAAATAGAAATAATAATCTTCATTCTAAATTAAAAAAAAAAGGATTTCTGTTTCGCTTTTTTGCTCTTTAATTTTACCATTTTAATCCTCTTTTTAAAAGAAAATTTCAATTTTTTGAGCACAATTACATTTTTTCTTAGCATAACTTACGTTTTTGAACTCACTTACATTCCATAAATGCAATTTTAAGTAATTATTGCCGCTTTTTTGTATGTATATATAAGTTTCTTCATTATTTAGTAAATGCAATTACAAGTACGTATACATTGAACTTATACGTTAACGTTACATGTATGTATATATGTATAATTTATATATAAAAAGTCATACAAGACAAAACTGTACAATTCATTAACTACTGATTCGCTTACACCGCATAAGTTGCAACACGCACGCGCTTTCTTGTAGCTGCCAACAGCTGCTACTGCTTGCAAAATGCATAAATATACATACTTCTCCAACTCGCTGTGTCTAAACTAAACGAAATATGCCGCTAATTGGGCCATTTTGTCCTTTGGCTGACGCGGTCCACGGCCGCCACGTCCACCGCCTGCGCCACCGCGTCCACCTTTAGCACCACCACGCCCACCGCCACGAGCGCCACCACGTACGTTGACTGGACGCGATGCGACGGCACGATGTTTCTCCACAAGATGCGCAAAATCGTTAGAACAGAAGACACAGCCGCTCTTCTCCTCAGTGCTGTCCTTGAATTTTGTTTTATCCGATTTGTATACTACATTGACTAGTTGAGCGCCGCATTCCGTGCACTTTTGTTCTGGTAAATTTATAAATTATAGTAAACATGTTTTTTATTTTTTTGTTAATTTTGAATTACCTTCCACCGACACTTTGGTCGCACCCTTGAAACAATTGATTATGACATCGCAACGATTGCAACCCAACTTCCAACTAGGCGCCAATGTGCAGTCCAGCACGAGTATGCCATGCTCACACTCCACACAACCCGAAATACCGAGCGTATTGAGTGAGTGTGGGCAGGTGGGATGCGTGCAAGAGTTGCAACCGCCATTTTTGGGCATATCCCTGAATGGTGGATTATTGTAGCAATAGGGGCAGAATGGATATGAGCGTCCCTTGGCGCCGGTGGTAAATGCCAACAATTCAAAGTCGTCCAGCGGACATTTGAATTCACGATAGACTTTAACATTACCGCCGTTAGGCAACGAATAGGTTTCGTCGCATTGAGAGCAATGCAAGCGCGCAGGTTTTGTCTAATAAATTTAATAAGCAAAAAAAAAACAATAAATTTAACAAAAAAATAATAATAATTTTAAAAATATAATAATAAAAACAATAAATTTAATAATAATAAAAAAAATTTTAAAAAATATAATAATAAAAACAATAAATTTAATAATAAAAAAAAACAATAAATTTAATAAAAAGAAAACAATAAATTTAATAAAAAAAATTTTAATGAAAAAATATATAAAAAATATTTAATAATATAAAAACAAAAAATTTAATTAAAAATAAACAATAAATTTGATAAAAACAATAGAAAATTTTATAAAAACAAAAGATTTAATAAAAAAAAATATTAAAAAAAATTTTGAAATATAAAAACAATAAATTTAATAAAAAATAAAAATAAATTTAATAAAACAAAAATTTTAAGAAAAAAATATATAAAATTTAATAATAAAAAAACAAAAAATTTAATAAAAACAAAAAATTTAATAAAAAAAATTAAAAAAAAAATCGAATAATAAAAACAATGAAATTAAAAAATAATAAACAATAAATTTTATAAAAAAAAAATTTTAATAAAAAAAAACAGAAAATTTTACATAAACAAAAAATTTAATAATATATAATAAAATAAAAATAATATATAATAAAAAAAATAATAATATATAATAAAAAATGTAAACGAAAAAAAATTATAATAAAAAAATATAAAAGAAATAAATAAATTAAAAAAGGTGTAAAAAAAATAAAAGAAAATGAAAGGAAAGAAACAAAAGTATTAGTATTTTGAGTTAATATGAGTATGAAAATTTGTTTTACTTGTATATATTTCATGTAACGTCGACACTTGCCGCAACGTGAGTGCGCCTTGCCAGTTTCGGCTAGTGGCGAGAAAGAGACCTCAAACAAGCTATCCATGCTGGCGATGTTTTTGACGAAGAATAAAAACTTCAAACGAAATATCTCGATGGCATGTCGCAGCACAGCTTGAAAATCAGCTGAGCCTTTGGCAATAAGATTCAGCATGCGCTCGACCTCAGAACGCATTGTGGGCAAGACGAGCTCCGGATCAATCTGCAAAAACGTATATGTATTGAAACGAAATAATTTTAATTACAGAAAAAGAAGTACCTTCTGATAGCCATGCACCAGCACAATTCCCAGCGTTGTTGGTATCAGCTTACGTCCGGTTTCGATGCGCACGTAATTACGCTGTGAAATGTTGTTGATATGCACCGGTATAGAGGCATCTGTGCCAATGCCATGTTGTTCCATCAGCGTGATCAATTCGGCTTCGGTGAGGTAGTCCGGTGGTCCAGTTTGAGATTCCGCCAAGCGTACATCGTTTATGGCCACTTTTTCACCCTCCACAAAGGGCGGTATAGCCTCGTCGCGGCCGAATGCCTGCCAGGTCATTACTTTTGTGTAGCCCGGATCAAGTAATACGTTTGCGGTGCACGAAAATGTCTCCAAGCCGACACGCAGTTTAGCGGTGGTAGTGCGATATTTCAAATCACGTGACACTGTACCGAGGAAATGTCGGCAAATAAAATCATATACGCGCCAAGTGTCTCTATCAAAGTCGCTACGATTCGCTAGCTTCATAGGTGTGATGGGCGGATGGTCACCGGCGTCTTTGCCTTTACGCGGCGCATTGTAGTCGCTTAATATGCCACGCGCCTCCTCGCCAAATTCGCTGGAGGGTTGCAATACACGTAGAACGGCGCTAAAATTAAATAAAATAAGTTTGATTGCAGTTGGTAGACAAAACTTGTGGTCTACTCACTGCAAATCGAAATTCGTGGGATACTGATTGGTTTCTGTACGCGGATAACTTATATAGCCCTGAGTATATAAACGCTCGGCGATTTGCATAGCTTGAAATGGACCGATACCCAGTCCTGAACTGCAAATACGCATCAACTCTACTGTGTTTAAAGCCTGCGGGCGACCCTTGAACTGCTCTTTGGAAGTTACGCTCTCCACCCTAAAAGTAGACAACACATAACATTAAACAGCCTTTAGGAATTAATTTTATCGAGCTTACAGCGCTTCCTTTTGTTCCTTGACACGTTGCATTAACATGATAGCAATTTCTTTTTTGAATACGCGTACGCGTGCCCATGCTAACGTAATTTCGGGTTGTCCCGCCAGTAATTGCAGGTACCAAAAACTTTCCGGTTTAAATGTTTGTATATCGTCATGCCGTTTCACGCAAAAACCTAACGTGGGTGTTTGGCATGGCCCATAGGATATCAACGATGAATCCAAATCACCATAGCGTCCTTGGAAAAATTTTGTCTGGAAGCGTGTAAATGCACAGCCGATACGCAAGTCGAGCTCTTGACGTGCATCCACCGACTTAGACTCATTCTCATTCGGATAACCAAGTGACTCCATGGCGCCTTTTATATCCTTGTCGGTAATGGCAGAAAAGTGCGCACGATATGTAACATTGCGACTGTATACATTTGGTATGATACGCGACACTGCATCCATTACTTCATAGCAAATATTTTCACCCTCTTTATCACAATCGAGCCAGAGCACTAAATATTCGCAGCCTCGCGCCTCTGATGCCAAAAATGTGCGCATATGTTGCTTGGGATTGGCTTCCTTCTTTTCGGTTGGACAGCCAAACAGTTCTGCCGGGTCTACACGATCCCAAGAGTTGTATTTGCCTACAAAATCGAGTGTCATGACGTGACCGCACACTGACGTCATGCGAAACAGCACGCTGCGGTCATCACGGAATGGACCAACCCATTCATGAGTTGAAGAGCTATTTGATGCTATTAGGATGAAAAGCAGATTTTCATATAAGCGTAGCAATAAGAGAGTGGGGGTGGCTACATACCTTTTTTTGTCGTGCTGCGCCCATTGGAGAGAATAGAAGCAAGTGACGCCGCCAAAGACGGCTTCTCCGCTACCATCAATACTTTCTTCATTGTTGTAGCACTCAAAAGATGCAGCACCCCTTACTTTCCACTCAGATTTGTTTTTTTAAATGTATTTTCCTAATTTTTATGCACAATTCCAGAGAAGTGCTAAGCAAGGAAAACACAGTAAACCACAAATGCCAACTACAACAGTGATACTAAAACTTGTTTATGAAAAACGGGTGCCTGCCAAACTGTGATTATGTTAATAAATTAATGATAATTATGTGTTTGTCTTTTAAAAAATATTATATCTTTTGAAAACTATTAAACTGTTGTCTTTTTGATTTATGTTTGCGGATTTAAGTCATATATTTTTTAATAAATTGACACATAATTTGTGTACACCTGGCAGCCCACTTATATACTTTCAGCAAATTGCATTTCTCGTAAGTCTGGCAACCATTTCCTCACATGTGCTTGTTGATCTTGGGTTGTTTTCTAGCAAAATTGCTTACAGAATTAAATAAATTTCAAGGAAATGAAAGTTAAATCAGCTAAAAAAGCAGTGAAGCGAGATCCTCCTGCCGATGATGCAATAGAAGTCGAAAAAAGTAGCGCGCCAGCTGCAAAGGTGCCAAAGAAAACAAAGTTGCTACCCAATGGTGTTACAAATGGCTCAGGAGAAACGATTGTGTCAGAGCAACCTAAGTTGGAAAAAGCAACCAACGTAGTGAATAAATCCATATTCCAACATTTCAAAGAGTTAACAAATGAAGAGGAGGATAAACGCATGAAAGCTGCGTTACAGCTTTTACAACAACTAAGCAAAACCAAAGAAGCCGAGAAGGTTTGTATTTGATATTGAGTTAAACGAGCACGTTTAAAAAAACATCTGTCATTTACAGCGACAAAAGGAACTGACCTACACGCTGAAACGTTTAGTGCGTGGCTGTGGCGCTGCAACGAATGCGTCGCGTGCGGGATTTTACACCGGATTGGTTGCGTTGCTAAAAGCCTTCGACGAACATGAAATCACGTTGGAAAATATTTTTAGCACAATGCAAAAAGAGCTGAGTGTGGGCGCCACTGTCGGCAACAAGGTAAATAAATGTTAGTATAATTGGTAAATTAATGGTGAATAATTTGTATTTGTTTCTGCTACAGGACGACGCGGATGCTGTTGTTGGTAAAATACTAGTTTGTGGTGCTTTACAACAATCTGGTCGTTTGGACAACTTGCAGAATAATGAACATTTGGAACGTATCATAAACACATTATTGCAGGCGACAAAACAACGCAGTTATCATGCATCGCTAGCTTATGCACTACTTATAGAGTTGGTAGAAAAGGTTGCTGCAAAACAATTCAGTGACGTAGTGTGGCCGCTGTTGCAAATTGAGTTGCAACGCGCTTGGCCGAAACAAACACTACAAACCGTGCACTGCCTCATTGCTGTGCAGCGCAAATTTCCAAAAATCGTAAATGCCAAATTTTTAAAGGCACATTTTGGCAGCGCCGAGCTGCTAAACGCCGATAGTTATGCGCACTTCTATCGACTCTTTTGGGAACACAATAACATGCAACAATTAACACATCCGGCTTTCGAGCTATTCGGCGCTTGCTTGGCTACTAGCAACAATCTTAAAAACTTCTGGACGGAACAGGTTGATGCGGGTCTTGAAACCAGCAATAAATTACGCGAGTTAATTACACTGAAAATAGCTACCGACGTATTTAATAGTTGGCAACAAACGCAGGAAGCGGCAAAGAAGCAGGTGGTCGTTGCAGATCTATTGAGTGCGAATTTTATGCGTCTGCTAGTTGAAGGGCTTAAAAATCAAAAGCAAAAGAAAGATGAAACTCTAAAAGCTTTCTACGATGACTTCTTCGAAGCTTTGGTGGGTTGTTGCACAAAACTTGGCGACGACGAACAATTGGTGGCTGTAATACGCCGTCTTATACTACCGCCTGGCCTTTTTGGCATTGAAAAATATACGAGCACACGCGTTGTGCATCAATTAATAAATGCTTTGGGCGCAGCGGGCGTCAAGCAACTGAATTTGCTCTATCGCGACATCTTTCTCGGCACGCAGGTGAAGAATGTCGATAATGCCAGCGACACATGGCTCAATTTCGAACGCATGAATGCTGGTTTCATGTTACAGCATTTGCTGGCACACAAAGCTGTGCGTCAGGCATACGATTGGCGCGAGCAGCAATTACGTTTTCTGCTCACCTGTGGCATCTTCCATGTTACAGCATCAGCTGTCATATGCAAGAAGGAAGCGGCATCCGCTTTCAGCAATGATTTTGGCGAACAATGCAAAAATATGTTCTACACCAGTATGCAGAGTCGTTTGGTCGACTTGAAGCAGGAAAAGCAGCTGCTCTTGAAATTAGTGCAATACTGTAATGAGCGCGTTGAGCAAAAGCACGCGTCAAAAAGTTTTCGCATCAAACAGTATGATGAATCTTCGCTGAAATATTGGCGACAAATGCACGCAGCCGTAAGCGTTGCTGAGACGACCGGTAAGAAAAAGGAGAAGACGAAGTCGGCCAAGACAGCAGTTGATAATGATAAATTGGAACTGGTTTTCCAAATTTTACTGCTAAATATGGGCTTGCAGTTGTTCCGCGAACCGGAAATGGCTGGACCGGCTATAGAAGACCTGCTCAAGTGCATGCAGCGCATTAAAGAGAAACACAAGAGCAAGCAAAAGGCTAAGGAAGGCATCAAAACAGCTGATAGCGAGGTTAGACTTGTTCAAAATTAGAATTACGTTATATTTACATTAGCGTATGCGTTATTATCATAAATTTTTTAAATTGCAGAGCGAGGAGCCCGAGTGGATTGAGGTTGTAGTGGATCTATTTCTGCATTTACTCTCACAGAATGCAATTGCGCTGCGTAATATTGTGAATGCACTATTCCCTCATCTATGTGACAGTCTAAATCTGACAGCCGTGCACCAAATTTTAGCAGTACTAGACATGAAGGATGGACATAATCCCTTAAGTGCGCGTGGCGAAGAGAGTGACGACGATGAAGATGTTGAAGAAAACAGCGCAGATGAGGAAAATGCAACGAAGCTTACAAATGGCAATGCAGGCAGTGACGCAGCTTTCGATAGTGATGCTGATGACAATGAAGATGATGATGACGATGAGGAAGATGAAGACGATGATGATGATGATGATGACGAGGACGAAGAAGCTACTTCAGCCGACAAACTTCGTAATGCCATCTCTCAAGCGCTTATGGAGCATGGTGGCACGCCTACCGCAGCCGATGAGGATGATGATATGGCTTCGATAGATTTGAATGACATGAGCGAAGAGCAGGGTCGCAAATTGGACGAAGCGCTAGCTGAAGCTTTTAAAGTCATGCGTAAGACGGGTGGCGGCGGTGCAGCTGCGAAGAAATCGAAAAGTTATCGTGTTAAGATCACCACAGTGATGCATTTCCGCATACGCGTACTCGATCTCCTTGAAATATATTTGCAGCAGCAACCACCATTGTTGATCGCCATCGAAATTATGTTGGCCTTGTATAATATGTTGCCATATTGTGTAGGCGGTGAGCTAAAGCCATTGCAAACAAAAGTGGAAAAAGTGTTGCAAAAGCTGACAACATTGAAATGTGACACTGCCGATGTGCAGGAAGATGAGTTGGTCGCATTTATACGTCTAATTGTGGAGCAAAAATCATCAGCAGCCGCTTTTGAGGCGATGAATAAAATGCGCAACAAATGCATTATATTCCTAGTAAATAATGCAAATAAAATTGCGGTGGAAAAGAGCGTCGAGTGTAAAAAAGTGTTGACGCTATGTCAAGAGTATATACAAGAGTTCCTACAGTCGCGAAATCCCAGCGTGAATATCACACTGTTATCTGATATCTTTCGTCTACGCTGGACCGGCGTGTGGAACTTGGCTGTGACGCTAACGCATGACGGGCTCAATATGAAAACGCGCGCTTTCCGCCGCATACAAATCTATGAGATACTGGATGTACTCTATAAAAATCATGATTTGCAGCGCTTAGATGTGTCCAGCGCCAAAAAACAGCTGAACGATATTGAAAACGTGCTCTGCGCTCATATTAAAACGTTAGCTGCCAACACCAACGTTGAGGTATCGCCTAAGGAGTACAGCGTACTGTTGCAACTGCTGCTGCCGGCGCAGAAGACACATCAAAGGCTGCAACTAAAATCGGCGTTGGCCGATGCATCAATTGCACAAGCGGTACAAAGTATGCGCGCAGACACAACGGCGCTACTGCAACGCTATTGTGCGGCGTACAAGTTGCCCATAGTGCGGAACAAGGAGCAGCCAAAGCTTAATGGAAAACATGTTGAAGAAAATGCCGAGGTAGCGAATGGACAGTATGAAAAGCAAGTGCAAGAAACAGCGGTAGGTGGTGAGAATGGTGTAGTAGAGGAACAGAAGATAAAGCGCAAGAAGACTACCGATAATGCGTCGCGCAAGTTAAAGAAACAAAAGAAAGAACAGCGTCTGCAGATCGCCTCCGCCGGTTTAAACGGAGGATTTGCGTTCGTGCGTCCGACGTCACAGAAAGAGGAATCCGAAAACGAAAGCGCGTAGTTTATTTGTTTATATTAGCCAACACGAAATGTTTTCTGAAAATAAAACAATTTCTAATTTTAATAATTAAGATAAATTTTGTGTTTATAAAGAGTAGTTTATATTGAATTTTATAAATGCAAATACAATACTAAATTAGACAAAAGCAATATGTGTGCTTTTAATTTACCTCATACCCAAGTGAAAATTCTCGATTTTTTACTTGCAACTCGTTTCCTTTGCGATTATCGATACAACTGCTATCGATATTAATTGTTGCAGAACTAACTAGCTGTTTACGTTTTTTCCGCGCTGTCAGTTCAGAAATTAGCAAAAACCTATTGTGCACAAACTTATCGCATTTCAACAATTTTCTCTGAAAGCGTGAAATTATGACTACGTGGAGGAATTTACGTATAATAAGCAGTATTGTGGTTGGTACTAGCGCAGGTTTATCAGCTTACTATTACCAACGTTTGCGCGAACCCGAGAATCTAGTGCAGAATGCTTGGCCAGTCTACAATACGCCGGTTAGCGATGGTGCACTCTGGGATACCAATTGGGACTTTCGCGAGCCCAGAAGTTGTGTGCGACCGGTTAAAAATGATACGCCACAAGAGCAGAATCGTTACAATAACGAGTTGGAGAAAATGCACGTGAAAGCGACACGCCATATTGTGCTCATACGACACGGTCAATACTTGGATGATGGCAAACACGATAAAGACCATCACCTTACTGACTTGGGCAAATTACAGGCAAAGTATACAGGGCAACGTTTGCACGAGCTGGGCATTAAGTGGGATAAGATTATCGTGTCGACCATGACTAGAGCGCAAGAAACTTCAGAGGTGATACTTAAGGAAATTGAGTATGAGCCTGAAAAAGTGAGACACTGCCCTTATTTACGTGAAGGTGCACCCATAGCACCACAACCGCCTATCTCCCATTGGCGTCCTGAGAAATTTGTGAGTTCTATTCAGTTAAATATAACATATACTTTTTTGATATTATACAATTCCCTTTGTATTGCTCATTTATTTTTAGCAGCATTTCTTCCAAGACGGCGCACGCATTGAAGCGGCTTTCAGGCGCTATTTCCATCGTGCCGCTCCCGATCAAGAGCATGATTCGCATACGCTGATCATTGGTCACGCTAATGTTATACGTTATTTCGTATGCAGAGCATTGCAACTGCCACCGGAAGCATGGTTACGCATCAATATTAACCATGGTTCGATTACCTGGCTAACTATTAGACCATCGGGTAATGTTAGTATTCATCATTTAGGAGAAACTGGCTATATGCCGGCAAATGTAATATCACACCGTATACCGCGTGAAACGAAAAATGTTGTTTAAACGGCGCAATAATGCCAATGTGAATTTAATGAATTAAAAAGTATAAGTTAAAAACCTTAGTGCAACTAGTAGTTCCTGTTGTTGTTGCGGCAAAAGAAAATGAAACTATTTGCAGTTATTTAAGGTAAATGCAGTGTTTATAATCTAATTAAATACAATGGGTAAACCGAAAGTAGCCAGACATGGTGGAAAAAATTTATTAAAAAAACTAGAAAACAGTGCAGTAGAATATTATGTTTCTTAAATATCTAAATTATATCAGTTAACTGCTCATAACTACAGCTGATAATAGAAAAAAATGATAACCATAATACAAAAAAAATAAAATATTACTACCTTACTAGAATTAAATTCATTAAATTTTATAATAAAAATATTAAAGCTGCCTTAAATGAATAAGAACTAAAGTTAATGCATGCATTTAAAAAAAAAAAATATGTATATTTGTTTGATGTTTCCTGTTCTATTTATATTGTACTGTAACATTCGACCTTGGCTGGGTAGTAAGCTGTCACAAACCCGTTACGTAAATCAGACTGGAATGTACAAAAATAAAACATTAAGCTCCAGCAACAGGCATATCTACAATTATTTTGTTTTTGTACCTTACATATTTCTAAAACAATTTCCCTAAGTTTGACCGCTTGAAGATCGCCTAACTTTTATTGCATTTGCAGGTGTGATAAAACGCAAGCGTTTAAATAGATAAGATTAAGCAGCATTTGTATGTGTTTGAAAGTGCGACGCGCAGTGCATCATGCTTTACATTTACAATTAAATTAAATACTGCAATGCATTAAAGCATTAGTCAGCATTAGTTGTCCATCTTAGTGTCAATAATGCCTAATATTTATTTAATAGAATTTTCACATTCAAAAACAAAGAATTTTAAAAATAAAAATTAGTGAATTTCGTTAACTGTCATTTAAATCAACGCCAAACAGAGAACGAATATTATATATATATAATGATATACGTTCTTTGACGCAAATGCCTTGCATATACAGTGGCAATCAAACTAATAGTCAAATAATTGTGAATGGTTTGTATGTGCGAAAAATTCAAAGCAATTTCGATTTAGCATACTTTTAGGGCTGATATGAACAGAGAACGATATACGTTCTCTGACATGAATAGTCAGTTAATCAAACGGCTTTTATAATTTAAATATATGCCAAACATATGTACACGATGTATGGCAGAGGAATTCCTAACCTTAGAATTTGTGTTGCACATTTCCCACAGGTCATTTGTTTTTGCCAACGCGCGCTGCTTAAAATCTTGTACAAATATTACTTGTCTATTGTTATTTTGTTATTGTTATTGTAACATCATGAATATTGGTGAAAAATTGCGTTTTGCCTTCTGACATGCAGTTTTATTCATATGCGCGATATACAAACATGCACGTGCTTGTTCATATATGTATGCACATGCAAATATTGCATTACGAATGCATGCTGTGCGTCGAAGTATGAAATTTAACAACTCAAACAAAATATAATAACAAAATAGCTCAATAAATTGGAATATGCGGTTAAAATTTAAATATTTTGTTTACAAAGCAAAAAAACATACATAAATATGGAAAACACAAATATTTATGTACATATGTGTGTATGTATGTAGTCATAGGCATGTGGTGTTTGAAGTTTTCGTTTAAAATTGATTTCGATTAAATTTTCGAATTGTTTTGCGCAAAAAAAGAACTCTTGGATAGCAGTTTGGTAAGACTGCGCTTACACACGGACTTTTTTGTCGCTTATCAACGGCAAATTCTCTTTTGTGCTTACCCACTTTATATTACTATACTGTGTTTATAAGGTGAAACAAAAATGCATTAAATTTGTTTTACATGTTTTTTGTATTTTTTTTTTATATTTTTTTAAAATATTTTTTAACCATATTTTTTTCTATATTTTTAATTTAGTATGAATATTAATGTATTATTATCTCATCAATTTTCAAAGAAATTCTATGCAAACGGTTAGCACACTAAAAGCTTAGGCAACAAGTCGCAAGTAAAATAGTGTTAAAGCAAATTTGTTGTTCGTTGTAATTTTGGTAAATTAAAAAATCATTTAATTTATAAATTATTATTTTTACAACTAATACATTTAAAAATTGGCGATATTTGATTGATATTAAAAAAAATGTTGGGCACTTAAAGGCATAAAAATCAATTCGCTAGCACGTCAAAAGCCGTCTAATATTGATACCACGGCTGACGTCGCACCCATTGTAGACGATTGCTGGTTTGATCTGAGCGAATTTTAATGCTAGCGCCCTCAGCAGCGCGCACCGTCTCCTTGACCTGCAAAATTGCATAAAAAATAACTTAATTAATAGAAAGAACGACAATTTAGCTTGCGCAACACTTACACTCTGCATCAGATTCTGTGCATTGCCCACCAACATCTCCGTCGCCTCACGATCCTCATCCGAACCCTGTGCGCCCAACATGGTCGCCTTGACGGTCGACAAAATCTTCAACTGTGTGCCAATTGTTGGTATGCGCTCGCAGACTTGCAGCAGATTGGTACGTATGCGTCGGTCTGTGCACTGACGTGCGAGCTCCTTTGCCAGTCGTGTCACATCCTCGGATGATTCGGCAATCTTTTTAGCCGTGGCGATCAATTCACGTTTGCTGCCACGCGAATCGGAGAGCACCAGCTCGCTAAGACGCGCCATCAGTATGGCCATACGTTTCGCTGCGGCAATGATCTCATTGTCCTTAGACGACCATTGACGTACTTCTTGGTGCAGGCCGCGCGCGGCAATCTGTAAAATAATGTGCGTAGTAGATTAGTTTGAGCTTAGCGCCAGTGTATATAAGTGCTTACCAAAATCGGTTGGTTGGCATGCGGCATTGTGCGGAACACACCCTCGTCCTCATCGTCGGTCTCTGGCGGTGGTGGACGTGCGGGCACTAGACCCTCGCGTGGCAATGGTGGACGTGGTGGCGCGCGTTCGGCTGTTGTGAAAGAAAGTGAAAATTAATAATGCGCCGGAACGCGCTGGTTGAAGCAATTATACGCACCATTTTGATTGGAGATGTGCAGCGCGCTGAGCTCTGGTATCGGTGGTGGCAGTGTTGTAGGCAGTGGTGGCGGTGTTGGCGCAATGGCTGAACGTACTTCGCGCACATCGCCGAGCAACTGTAAAAAAAAGTGTCATATTTATTAGGATGTTAGGTTATTTTCTACGTTACTCACCCTTTGGAATGATGACTTCCATGCGTGCGCCGCGGCTGGATCATTAATATTGGTGGCCACGCGTTTCGCATCGCCCACCATCGCGGGCAACGAGCTCTCAAGCCTATTTGCCGCTGCGTTCAGATTTTGCGTGAAAACCGGATCCTCTGAGTTGTCCGCCTCCTGCTTGGCGACGAGCAACACGCGATTGATTAAGCGCGCTATATTCGAAGTGTTGTCCACCATCTTTTGTGGCTGTTTGTTGACGATTGCATCCTCGCACAATTTCGCATACATTTGCATGTGCTCCTCAGAGGTTTTGATAAATTCGCTCGGATCGGTGGCCTGGTCGCAGAGCGTGCGCATGCGCAGAACGGTGTCGGCGTATTGTTGTTTCAAGTTCTGCAAATGCTCATCGGCTGCTTTGCTGGCGGGGTAGTTCATGCGTATGCGGCCCGCATTGATGAGTTGCGGTGTCATTGAGTCCACTTGCGTGGCCGAGGAGAGCAAGATTTCAGCGATTTTCTTATTGCCGCAAGCGCCGCCGGCCGCCACCATGCGTGACGTCTTCGATGCGCGATCGCTAAACGCTTGCAGATTGTTAGACTTCTGGTTGAAATTTTGTTCACGCCCGGGCGTGCCTTCGGGCAGCATTACCGCCTCGGTGAACTGTTTGAGCGGCGTGCTAACGTCCATGAAGTCTTGCACAATGCGATTAACCAAAGCATTCTGTATGGCGGCCTTCAACTCGTGCAATTTGTGTGTTAGCTGCTTTGCAGCCTCCTTGGCGGCTGGTGTATTGCCCGCCGCCTGACGCTTGAGACGTTCGACCTCATCACAGAGTTGCATGATTTCCGCCTTCTGATGACCCGGACAGCCCTCGGCAACTTTACGTCCTTCCTCCACAATTAGATTCACAGCGCGCTCACCCAAACCGCCGTCGTTGATCTCGGGATGTTGCAACCATTTAACCGCTTGTTCTAAGCGTCCTTGTATTGTGTGCGCGGTTTGTTGTAAGCCGGCCTTGTCAACACCCACGACAGCGTTGCGCACCAGCGATTGCAGTTCGCCCAGCTTGCCGCGTATTGCGCGCGCCAAGGATTCGGCCTGTGGCGAGGTGCCCTTGCCATCCTGACGCAGTTCGCACAGGCTGTTTGTCATAGCGCCAATCTCGTCCGCCAAACGTCTGATAGGGTAGGCGTCTTGCGGTAAGCAGCGCTCGGAGATTTCGTTCGCATTATCGATTATCTGCCGCAGCGCTTTTTCGCCTACACCGCCTTTGAGTGCGTAAGGATTCGATAGCCAATCGTTGGCCAACTCAGATTTATTATTGATGGCATTGCTAAGCTTTTTAAGCACCGTTAGATTGTCCAGCTCGCTGGTATCCTCGTCGTAAGTGGTGAGCTGAAGCACACGTATGATTTCTTGTATTTCATCGCTCATGCGCGAAGCCAAGTAGTTGCGATTCTCGGCCGCCTCTTCTGTGCCCTTGCCCTGCTGTTCGACAATGTGTATGTAGACTTTCATGCTGCAGATAAGTATGGGCGCTAGTATTTTTACTTGCTCCAAGCAACGCACCAAAATCTCGCTGTGCACCTGATGTGTCAGCTCCTTCTCACGTGCGCCCACCTCGCGCGAGACCTTACTTAGGCACGGCGAGAGATCCTTGAGAAATTGCACCAAATCTTCCATGGTATTTATCACTTCGGCAATGGCCAAATAGTCGAGCACCCGCTTGCATTCCTGCACGATCTTACGTACCTCGGACTCGTCGAAGCAGAGCAGCAGCGAGGAGGTGCCTTGCAGTATACCGCGACTTCCTTCAATCAGTTTTTTACGCGCTGGTCCCGAATAGGGATCGGCTCGTAACATATCGGAAGCCTCCTCCAGTAACTGCGAGGCAGTCTCGACGCGCTGCAATGATGCCGGCATCTCCTGCTTCAAAATCTTATCGTCCGAACTGTTAATGGTCTCGCGTCCGACTTTGACTAGATTCGCCACAGCAGCCGATACCACCTGCACGGGTCTACTGAGATCGGGCATGGCATTGCCATCTTCAGCTTCCTCGTGGAGGATGACGAGGCGAGAGACCTGTGGGGCGGGAGAGTGAGCGGTTTGTTGAAATTTTTCAAAAAGATACGAGACATTTTTAAATATTATATATAAAAATAAAATAAAACTTACAAAAAAATAAAAAATTAGAAAATTTAACACAAAAAAAAATTTTTGGCTTAGTAAAAAAAAGCGAAATTTTTTTAAAATAATTTTTAAAAATAATTAATTTCAGAAAATTTAAATAATTTATGTTTGAAAATCTGTTTGCTGTCACTAACTACACTGCCGTCTACAGGTTGTTATAGTGCGTTAGAAGAAAATATAATTAAGTACATACATATTTGAGCCAAAATTACGAAAAAAAATTAGGCAAAATGCCACATACGAATATGTAGAATAGACCTTAGTCACAGCGGAAATCTCCACTTTTAAATTGTATGTTATAAAGTGTGTAGATTTGGTATTTTTGTTAGTTAATTAAAATTTATTAATATTTTTTAATAAATGAATTTTTTTTATTTTTTTTAAATTAATTAATTTTTTCTAATTTTTTAAAATTAATTAATTTTTGCAATTCTTTTTACAAGTAATTAATTAATTTAAATAATTTATATTAATTATTTTTTTAATTTTAATTAATTATATTAATTATTTTCTAATTTTAATTAATGATTATCTTTTGTTATTTTTTAGGTTGGTTACATTTTTTATAATTTTTTTTGTTTAAATTTAAATTATTTATTAATTTTAATTATTGGCATTATTTTTGTTAATAAAATTGTTTGTTATGTTTTTTCATTTAAATTTAAATTTTAATTAATTATTAATTTTAATTAATAAATGTTTGTGGTTATTTCTTGTGTTGATTAATTTTTTTCTATTTTTTTATTTTAATTTTAATTTCCTTTAATGATATTAATTAATTATAAATTTTGATTAGTGAAAAAATTTTTATTTTTTTTATTTAAAAATGTCATTTAGCTTTTTATTTATTTAAACTTTTTTTTTCTTTTTTTATAAGCTTTTGAGTTAACTATGCAGTTATATACAGGTTGGTTAAAAAGTAAGAAGGGCTCACCAAGAAATAACACTACTACCTCCAATTTTTTTTTCTCAAGTTGGTACATCTGTCGTGAGAACACATGTAAAGTTACAAGTCACTGTCAATTATTTCTTTGTTTACAAGCCATTTGAAGTTGACGTGCCAGCGTAATTTTTTTATATGGTAAAAATTTAAATCGCGCAGTGATTAGATTCTTTGTTTTGAAATGTTCAAAAGCAAAGGAAATTTATGAACAATTGTTAGAAGTGTATAAGGAGTCTTCACCTTTCAAACGCACCGTTGAATTTTGGGCTGGTGAATTTAAACGTGGCCGTACTAGGCTGGAAGACGATCCACGCGAAGCACGGCCAGAAACAATTGAGCAAGTTCATAATATTGTTAGTGAGGAACCAAGTTTGACTAAGCGTGAAATTGCTAATGCCATAGGCATCTCAGACCAACGATTACTTCATATTTTACATGGAGAATTACATATGAAAAAGCTGTTTGGAAAGTGCCACACACGTGAACAATTCAACTAAAACTGGAGCGAAAACAAATTTCTCAGCATTATTGGGAGCGTTTTAAGCAGAATAAAACCGAATTATTGCCTCGTTTTATAACTATGGATAAGACTTGGATCTACCAATATGATTCTAAATTAAAGCAATAACGTTTACAGTGGACTGAAGCTGCTTGTTCAGCTCCAAAGCAGGTGAAGTCACAACAAGCAGCAAACAAAGTTATGACATCAGTTTTTTGGTATGCAAAAGGAATTTCGTTGATTGATTATCTGTAGAGAGGTAAAATAATCAACTGTGCATATTATTGCAGCCCTTTGGATCAGCTGGTTGGAAAAATTCGTGAGAAAAGATCTGGTTTGCAGCAAAAACAAATAATTTTTCATCAATACAATGCAGCTGCTCACAAAGTTGTTTAACAATGACAAAATGCAACGAATTAAAGTACGAATAGCTTGAGCATACACCGTATTCAACAGATTAGGCTCCTAGCGACTACTACCTCTACAGAAACCCGAAACAATTCCTTCGTGGAAAGCGTTTTTCGTCGTATGAAGAATCTCTTACAGCCGTAGACGGGTATTTTGCAGAGCTTCCGGAAAGTCATTATAGTGATGGCATAAAATAATTGGAGGCTCATTGGAATAAGTGTATTGAAGTTAAGAGAGATTATATTGAATAAAAAAGTAATTTCGTAACAAAAACAGTATTTTTGATTTTGAGCGCAGAAATTTTTCAATCAAACTGTATATTAAAAAATTTATATTAAAAATATCGTGACGATTTAGTGCGTTGTTATTATTTTAAATAATTTTTATTTAGTTTTATGCAATTTTTTTTATTAATATTATGATGTATTTTTTTTATTATATTTTGTATATATTTTTTAATGTATATATTTTTTTGGTTTTTTATACATATGTATATGTTTTTTTTTAATATTATATAACATACATATGTAGTGCCTTGGCATAAAGTGGCTATGTAAACATATACATATGTATGCACGTATGTCAACTAGTACGTGAATTATATAAAGCGTCGCAAGGTGGGCGGTGATGCCAAAGTATCCGTAAAGATTTATGACTACAAAAACTAACAAATCTAATGGATTCGCCTATTAGTCATCTATGTTTGGGAAAGTTTTGAGGCAAGAAAAACAGCAAAGCACTAAAAACAACATATTGAAAACTTAGAAAATAGAAACTGAACATCTTATGACTTAATATAATTCATAAAAAACTTCTAAAAATAATAAATTTATAAAAAAAAATTAAATAAGTCAAAATTTTGGGCATACAATTTTAGTCTAGAAAAGTTTTACATAGCCAAACACATTAAAAATAATTTGACAGTTTTTAATTAATTTTCGCTTTTTGTTTTGCACGCAATTTGTTCTGCCCTAAATAAACAAATATTGCTTGGGGTAATTGCATGATTTTTTGTTTAGCGAAATTTTGTTTCTAAGTGTGTGTGATTGAATTTTTTTTCATATTTTGTGCACCTACACATGTACTTATTCATATATATATATATCCACATGTACATATATACGAAAAAAAATATAAAATTTTTTTTTCAATATGTTTATTTACATATATCCGTATATATTTATGTACGTAGCGTGTTCGCTTTAGTGCTATAGAACTTAGAAAAAACAACTGTCAATTTAATTGTCAAAGTAAACACATGTTTTTGACATGTACATATATTCACTATCTATCGCAAGATCAAATTTGACCAGACTGTTCCATTATAAACTGCGCTCGCAACCCGAATCGATAAAATTTTTGTTTTTACATTGGCACAACCACAACATAAAGTTCATATGAAGTTTCATCTCCATTTGTCAATTAGTATGTGGCATCACTTAGTCACAGTATTCGCCCTGTGATTTTTTTTCTCTTTTCGAAACTGAACATTTTTGTTAGGAGAACGCGCCAAGAGTGCGTTGGACCCAGTTCATAAAAATCGCTAGACAAAATGTTCGCGCTATCAATTTGTGACCATATGTTTTGATTCCGTTAGACAAATGTTAACCTTTTCACAAGGATATCTCCATCAAAACTTGCGACTTGACAAAATTTCAAAATGAAAAAAAGAAAATCTGCATTTTACTTGTAATGAAAGTTCCAACGCTCTAAATAATACCCTTTACATATTTAAATATGTACATATGTAGTTGATAGCTCTGCTCCACTTTGTATTGTAGTATAAACATTTCACTTATAAAATTAAAAATATTTAATTTCAAGGTTTATATGGATGCTATTCAATTGATTTAGCTGTAGGTATCTATGTATGTGTGCGTGTGTGTGAGCCAATGTCAAACTAATTTATGAAAAACACGTAGAATACTTAACATTATATGTGCGTATGTATGTATATATCAACAACAAGGTGTGTGATAAAATGTTGTGGATTGAAGTGCGGAAAAGTGTGTTGGAAAATGTGGGTGTGCAAAAATACTCTAATCAAATATTTTTTACTACTGTGAGCGTAAAGCTATTTAAGAGATAAATAATGAAAAAATATGGACAATCTATTTAGTTCAATGACGATGTAATCCCATAATGACAGAACAAATTATATTTTAATTTACATTTTAAATTTTTTATTTTATAAGAAAAATACTAAAATTATTTCTATAAATTATATTTAAAAAAATATATATTTTATAATCGATTTTTTTCATTTTTTTTAGCAACAATCACATGTGGCAACTTGTGCAACTTTTTTTAACATAACAATAACATACATACATACATATGTATGTAACTCAAAGGTGCTTAACTGTGAAAGTGTAATATCCGTCAAACTAATAAGTGAAAAATGTGTTATTTGTATTTAAGACAAAAGTGAATAGAAAGCTTTCATTCTAACAAATAGCAACCAAAGGAAATAGCGGCAAAAGTGCAAAATAAAAATCAGTGTTAAAAATAAAAAAATAAATGAAAAGTGGCTAAAAAGTTTAATTAAAAAAAAACAACATGAATAAAAATAAAAAATTAAATACATATAAAAAAAATATATAGAAGAAATACAAAACATATATATAAAAAAAATAAATAAAGGAAATAAATATAAACAAAAAATAATAAAATTTAAATTAAAAAAACTCACTAAAACTAACTTAAAAAATTAAATATTGCTTTCCGTTTCAATTATTTATAAATTTATATTTAACATGGTAAAAGTCAAAGATAGCATTTTTTGTTAAAATTGAAAAATTTCTAATTTGTCTCATTTAATAAAAAAAATTATAAAAATAAGTTTAGAAAAAATTATTATTTTACTTTAAAATAATCATGATTAATTAGTAAAAATGTAAAATGGCAATATTAAAACAAAAAAGTTTTATGTTAAAAGCGTTTTATTTTAAACTAAGTTAAAAAAATAAAAGTCAATATTTTTGTAAAATTTAAGTAAAAACTGTTTGAAAAAAATAAATGTCAACATTAAAAACATAATAATATGTTAAAAGTATTCAATTAAAAAATAAAATAAAAACAAGAAAAAACGTTAACTTCGGTTGTACCGAAGCTATAATAGCCTTCACAAATACAAAAGATTCCTTACAAAAATTTGACGAGAATCGTTTAGTTTGTATGGCAGCTAACTATATGCTATAATGATCCGTTATGAAGAATTTCTTCAGAGATTGCCTCATTGGGTGTTACAAATATCGTGGCTAACTTTATATACCCGGTTCACGGTATAAAAATAAATAAATAAAATAAGTTAGCGAAAAAGTGATTTCATTTTAAAATAATGGATATAATGATCAAAAATGCATTGAAATGTGTGAATAAGTAAAAATGTGAAATTATCAACAATCAAGCAATTTTCTCAGCAAACATCAGGAGTAAAATTTTCGGTGAGCAAGTAAGTTTTTTAAATTTTTATTTTTACAAAAAAAAAATTTTTTTTTCTTAAGTTGTAGTAGACTCCATTTATCGTCGGCACATTTTCTTATTATTTATTATATATTATTTTTTTAAGCTTTAGTGAAAATTCATCTGTAATATGTAATATATTTATAGATTCGTTGCACTCGTTGCATGTTAAAGAACAAGCTCTTTTAACCATTTGAGAAGTGCACGATGGTTTATGAATGAAATATTAAGTGAAGTGGGTTTCAGTTTTAACTATATATAATATATTGTTGTATTTTGGACAAGCTGCGTGTCTTTCTCTGAGGCAACGTAGTCAACTTTGTTTAGTCTCACTTTATGGTATTGGACAACTACCCAAGTTAGTTCTTGGATCTTTCTGCCTTGCTAGTCTATATAACTTCCTTTATAGTTGTGTAAACGATAGTCGACTTATCGATAGTGGTGTTTAGGGAAGTCCCAGCAAATATGAATGCTTATTTCTGATTTTATACTTATGATTTATTCTGAATTTTTTCTGACTTGAAAAAAATTGCTGGAAGAAACTAAAAATTCTTAAGAACTTGATAACTTTTTATTCAAAAATTATATTTTTTCTAATTTCATATTTTATAACGCAAAATATAATATAACTAAGTAAATCGCTTGTGTAATCCATATTGCTGTCATCAATAAAAAATTCTAGCAATTTATGGAAGTTTTTAACAAAGTTGTGAACACATAACCCCGAAATCTAGTATTTATCTTTTTTGGCATTTTTCTCCAAACAAAAACTGAACTCTTAAATATGATAATACCGCACGGTACATTTCAGTTACCCTAAATGGTAACAAACAGATTTCGTGTACAATTCTAAAAAGTGTTAGATATTAAAATAGCATTTGGTGTCAGAACCTGTTAATTGTGCATAACCGTAGTTGGTAAAAATCGCGGAACTACCAGCAGCGTATACCCGTATGTCAATGATGCCGACGCCACGCATTCGGAACAACAGGTGTGCATGTGGACAGTTTTGTACGGTGCGATCGGCCTACCGACCGCATTTGGCGGTCACAATCACTTGACCTACGCGCATTTTTTCGCTCCAACGCTTAAAACTTGCTATAAACGTTTGCCGCAAAGCGCAGCCACGGCGGTTTAGTGATGGCAAGTGCGGGCGGTGAACTGGCAAGCAAGTTGCCACTGCTCAGTTTCAGGTGGTGGGCGTTTTTTACGGCGTGAAAACGATGAAAAACAATAAAATACGATTGAATGAAGCAACGAGTGAATGAATGCGGCAGGTTTTTGCTGTTGCGTTTTGTTGTTGTTTCGTTTGACATTTATGGTGTGTGTTACGTTGCCGGTTTACGATTTTTTACCCGCTAACGCACATTTAGTTATTTATATATTTTTTTGTTGCTTGTTTTTGTAATTTCGTTAATTTTTTGTTGCTATTTTTTTAACTGCTGATTTTAGTTGTGCTTTTTTTGTTATATGTACGCTTTATATACATATATTTATATAATTTATTAAATCTATATTTACATATATTTAATCTATATAGTTTTTTTATGACGTCATTGCGTAGGCGCCATTTTTTGATTTATGCCAATGCAAACCATGAAGCAAATAAAATTAAATAAATAGAAACTGTAATGGTTGTGCAGTTTTCAGCAACAGTTGTCTGCTGCCAAACCATTAATGTCAAATTTTTGACATATGATGAGCTTTGCGGTTTTCTGCTCATATCTCAGCCAAAAATGTTTCGACAGGTAAAAAAAATACAAAAATTATAATCAACAGTAGCCAGTAATATATCAAAGCAAAATTTTAGATTCGTAAAAAATATGATTAACACGAATCACACAACAACAACACTACAAGTTTTTTCAAACTTTTTGTCTGCCATATCAACTGGCACACATCTGGTTCAAGTTCCACCTGCCCGCTCACACCGCATGCGTTTTTTCCTTTTGTTTATGCTTGTTGTTCTTTCTTCATATTTTCTTCTTAAAAATAGCTTTGCGCAAGCATATAAAAATAGCACAACACATATGCTGGAGAAATATGTGCAGAAGCTGAAATATTCAACAACCATAAAGCACACTTATCCAACACTTTGTGTACATGGCTGTTTCTATGACCTTTTTGGCAACTTCTACCAGTGCATTTGCGCTGCTATGTTTGTATGTACATACATACATATATATGTGCGAGTATTTGTGGTTTTGCATTTACCGTCGCTCTTCGCCTCTAACTCGTTTGGTGTAGCAAATGTAAACAAATCGGTGTAGCTGCTGCTTTCCTGCTCACAAGCGAAGGCAAACAAGTAGGTCTTTAGTTGGCCGGATTCTGGGAATAAAGTGGGCGAGTGTAGCTTAAATTGACTTCCAAAGTAATTTTCATCATTCAACATTGAGTTCGGAGACAAGCGACAAATATTTATTGGTTTTCAATAATTTTTAACCAGTCTCAATTAAAGTGAGAGCCGCCCAGAAAAGACAAGTTTCATTAAAATTGACAAATAATTTCGAATTTACAAAAAAAATTAAAAAAACTAAAAAAAAAAGTACAAATATAAAAGAAACAAACAGAAATACAAGTTGTTGGCTTTATACATTTTTGGTTTTCCAAAAATGTATACTTATGTATGTATGTATGTACATATATTAAATGCATAGATTGGGAATAAGCGGCCAATTTTCATTCAAATTGTCATAGAATATCGAAATTAAAAAAGAATAAATACAAAATGTTTTGTTTTTGCAGAAATTGTATGAATGTATATTTATTTCATGAATTTTATTCAATTAATTCAACTCAATTCCCAACTGGCTTAAATTCTCATGTGACAATAACGTGTAATCTGACTAATCTGATGTGTGAGTAATGTAAACAAGCGATCTACATATGCAAGTTTGCAGCTACTGTGAACTGTGACAGTGGAAGAGGCACAGTGTTTTAAAGCGTGGTGAACAAGTAGATGGGAAAAAATAATAATATCGATTTAAAAAATAAATTACATTTTGAAATTAGCACTAAATTCTTCTTCTTTTCAAAGATAAAGAAGAGCATGCAAGCGCGAAATAATTCAAAATTAAAAAAAAAAAATTTTTAAATTTTCATTTTATTTTCAATCCAATTTTTAGACTTAAAATTTTTTTTTTTAATTTTCGATTCGGTATTTGGGATTAGAAATTTTAAAATTATTTTTATTAGTTTTTCGAGATTATAAAATAAAAAAAAAATCAATTTAAGTATTAATTAAATTGTCTTTTTTATGCATTACTTACAAACCTGGTAATGACACTGCCATCCTTAAGCCAAACAAAAACTTTTTACTGTTATAAAACTCTTTTTTGGTTTTTTAAAAATTAAAATTTTCATAGTAAATAACATACCTATATAAAACCTTAGCAATTTTCAATAGTCATATGTATTTCCACTCACCTGTTGTGCAACGGGATCTAAAATGCTCTCGATTGTTTTCGTATGAAAAACCGGCATTTTGCTTTATTTTTTGTTTCACTACGCAAAAATGAAACTCAAATGCAGTTGTTTTGGTGAGCAGTGTTGTTTGTTTAAAAGAATTTGCACTGAATTTTAATTTTTTCTCTCACTTTTTGAAAAATTTATAGATTCTTGTTGGTTTGCGTGTTTGCTAAAATTTGGCGTGCTGCAGTAAGGAAAAAAATATATATTTTAATATTCTGAATTTTTTAAAAAGTTTAAGGTAATTATCAAATAGAAATCTTAAAATTTTTGAAACATGTTCAAGTAAGCAACAAAATATATAACCATATTCTGAATTTTTAAATTCAAAATTTTTTGAAATTGAAATTTTAAAATCTAAAACTTTTTTTTTTATTTTTTTGTATTTTTTTTGTATATACCATACATTTATTTCACATCAAAGTTTTAAACAGTTGTTCTTTGTTTTATTTTTTTCACTCTACAGTGTTGCATTTCTGTTTACTGCATTATTTATTAAGCGATTTTCATTGAATTTTTATAATTTTACTTATTAAATTTTTCTTTAAGTTTCCCTCGTCCAACCAAAATGCATATAAAAACATAACATAATAGTTATTATATATTTTTTTATATTTTTCTTTACATTATTTTATTTTTGTTTTCGTAATATAATTACGTAATACTTGTAATGTTTTTTTTATTTGGTTTCAATTTTTTTTTTTTAATTTTTATTGCCGTTGTTTATTTCATTTCACTGTCGCTATAGCTGCTGCTGTTTTCATAAGTTCACTGTATGTTTTTTTATGTGCTTTAAGCTTTTCCACTGGAGAAAATAACAAACGTTGGCGTTTTACGTAGGCGTTTTCAATCCAATAAGATTACACACTTCGATTTTAAAAATCAAATTTCACTCAATGCCATCTATTTTTCTAAGTAAATACAGTAATTTCCGCATTAAAGTATATTTATTGGCACATTTAAGTTGTTTTCACATCCTTGCGACAGTTTAATTTGGTTTTTATTACAGTTGTAATTCAAATTGCAATTTTTACTTCCTCTTGTGTTTCTCACTCTCCCCTCTCTCGTCTACACTTATTAAATTGTTATTTTATTTGTTGTTTTCTACGGTTTTATTCACTCAACTGCTTATTTTTCTTGCATAACCACCTGTCTGCCTTTGCGCATCAACCAAATCAGCATTGTTGTTCATAGATTTTTGTCTAATAAATTTTATTATTTTTTTTTTAATTTTGTTTTCTTGCCAAACACAATATTTTTGAATATTATGTCATGCTGTGAAACGTTCGCTGAATTATTGAATGAGCAATCAGAAAAATTGTAAAAATTAAAAGTATATGTATATATATATATATAAAACAACACCTAAAATGCGCAATAAACTTTTGAAAAAGATAATTATTTTAATTAATTATTTTTATTTTGAATACAATTTTTTTTATATGTTTTAATATCTGTGCAAAACAAATATTAACAAATTTCTCAATAAGTAATTAAATACTTTTTTTGAAAGTAATTATCACATTTTTTTAACATTAAAATTTTTGTAACGGTTTTTTTAATAAATTTTTTATCAAAAGTAATTAAATAATTTTTTACTAAAAATTTTAAAAATTTATGTACTTATTAAAATTCGCAACATATTTTTGTGAAATATAACTATTGTGATTCTTTATTTTAATTTTCGATAACAATTTTTTTTATTAATTTTTTTGTTTTAAAATTTTAGCACTCTACATATTTTTTCATTTATATTAATTACATTTTCAATTAATAATTAAATACTTTTTTTCAAAGTAATTACCAAAAGTAATTAAATACTTTTTTTACTTAAAAAAATTTTTTTAGTTATTAAAATGCGCTAAACATTTTTGTCAAATATAATTGTAATTATGTATTTTAATGTAAAGTAAACTTCAAACCATTTTGTATTTATTTTTTTTTGTTTACTAAGCAAGTAGTAATTAAATACTTTTTTTGAAAGTAATTAAATATTATTTTTACTAACATTTTTTTAATTTTTTATTTTTTTTTTTATTTATTAAGTGCGCAACATATTTTAGTCAAATATAATTATTGTAATTAATTATTTTAATTTTCGAATAATTTCGATTTTCTTTTTTTTTATTAAGTTTTAGCAAACTAAATATTTGTTATTTTTATTAATTACTTTTTCACTAGTAATTAAATACTTTGTTTGACAGTAATTATCAAATTTTTTTCACTACAAATTTGTTATTTTTATTAATTACTTTTTCAATTAGTAATTAAATACTTTTTTTGATAGTAATTTTTAAAACTCATTACTTTTTTTTGCTAAAAATGAGTTTTTTTATTTATTAAAATGTCCAACAAATTTTTGTTAAATATAATTATTATAATTAATTATTTTAATTTTCGATAAAAATTTTATTAATTTTTTTTTATTGAATTTTAGCATACTACATAATTTTGTTTTACATTATTTTTTCAATTAATAATTAAATACTTTTTTTTAAAGTAAATTTCAAATTTTTTTTGCATTAAAATGTTTGTATCTGTTTTGTTTATATTAAATTTTTTATCTATTTTTGTTAAATTTTACATTTACATTTCTTAAATTCCGTTTTTGGAATATTTATTTATTTACCACAAAAACTCTTTTCGCTAAACTTTCGTTACTGCAACCTTCGCACTACACACGAGAACTAATCAGCCTGATGTGTTTGGCTGTCTGAAACTATTTGAACGCTTTCGTCGAATGCGCCGATGATTCAACTGAATCATCAGAATCAGAACGGTTCAACGCAACACCTACAATTACCAACATGTACATATGTATATACGTATATAAGAACATATTACAAATTTATAGTATATACAATGTATTCCGCCAACATTTCGCCTTTGTTTCCACTTTCTTTATTGCATGCAATGACACCGACTAAAACCCCGCGGCTAAGAATTGTGATTTCATAGTGCAATGACGTGTCACATGACGTCATTACGAGACAAATTTCAACGAAGCAAATTATATACTTATAGCTCAACGCATGGCATTTTGATGGCGCTGCTTTAGAAAAATCAATTTGATTCTATTAAGTGATAAGATTAATAGCATTTAGCCGGCACGCAAACGCACATACACATGTGGCTATGAATGCGTTTAGTTTAAACAATGTGTGTATGTTTGTAAGTGCCTGCGTGTGCTGCGCTGCATGAAATCGAAAGCGAAAGCAAAAATAGGCGCAGCTTTTGTTTATAATGCCAACAAGCGGTTATGTGTCGAAGCCGCCAAACCCAAACAAGTGCTGGCCAACGGAAGTGCTGCTAAACATAACAAATACAAGAAATGTAAATAATACAAAAAAAAACCTGCCGCAGAAAGTGAAAATTTATTAGGAAATTGGTACGTGACGCTTGATTTTCCCATCACTCTGACACTGCAGAATTGCAGTATGTTTAGAATTTATTATTATGCCACTCAAAAATTTTTTATTGCATGCACAATACACTCATATACTCGTTTGTAAGTCGTTAGATAATTTTGCGGTCATGCAGTAATGTCTACTTATCATCAATGACTGGCTGACTGACAGTTTTGCGGCATTCGATTGCGCATACATTTAGGTTTGTACGTGTGCGTCTGCCATGTAAGCGCATAGCGAGACCTAGAAATCAAAATATTGAATGGGGAAGCCTTATATGGCGGTTGTATTAGAGGCAAATTGAAAATAGCAAAAACAAAAAACCTGACACATATGAAGCTATAATTTATGGCATATTAATTTGGCATATGAAAGAGGGGTGCTGACAATGTTGTGCGAACAGTGGGCGTTGTAGCGAGAAAAGGCATTAAATATGTAAATAATTTTTGATGCATATTTATAATGGAGTTTTGATAGCAAAATGCGGATATTTAAAATTTTTCTTGTTGAAAATAAGCTTAGTTTAAAGAATGATTGTGCGTTGAGGATGCCGCTGAAAGTAAATTTTTATGATGCGCTTCCAATTGACAGCAATTTGACGTAATATCGCGCTCTGCAAAGTTTCAAAGTGTTTTCGGCTTGAATGAGCACTTTATAAAAAAACTGAATCCGTAGTCCTTGCTTAGTAAAGATTAGTTTAGACAGCCCGTACCCCGATCCCTACAAACTCCAAACATATTTTTATTTCACTGTTAGGTGAAATGTTGCCTACATTTTGGCGCAAAGCTGAGAATATCATATGTATCATTTTCTACATAACTTGACAGAGTTTAAGGAGTTACGTACGCTTGTGAATCAGATTTTGTTTTGGAGGTGCTCCAGGACATCGCTTACGGAGACAAGGAAGTCTAAAAGTTTTCAAAATGAATCACCGAGTATAAAAATGCATTAAATTGTGCACATATACATTAATTGTAATTATTTAGTAAATAAAATAACTCTTCATAACAAATTCACGAAAAAACGTGGTATTTTCTGGCTTGCAATTGCATATAACCCCTTAAATATAACACAAAATGTTGCCTACATTTAGGCGCGCAGTTAAATTAGTAAATTTCTTATTATCTCCACAGCTTGCCAGTCTTGCAAAAAAAGCTGTTAGCGTGAATATTTTTACTAAAAAATAAACTTTATATTTTTTATATTTATTGCTTTATTCTTGTTTATTTTTCAGCTGCTAGTTAACTCTTGAACTTTAGCGCATAAAAATATGTGCTTTCATGCTTTTATAACTAGTTCTACGCTTGCTTCACTTTCGTTTGCGCACTCTCCCCTCATCCCCATTCACACTGATAAACTCTTAGCGACGCCGCTGTCATTTGTTGTCGTTTTATTTATACGCACTAACAATTATGTTTTGTTTTCTTTTTCTCGGTGTTCTTTACAACCAGCAGCATAACTTTTTATTTTATTTTTTTGTTTTTGTTTTTATGTAAATAAATGTTGTTGTGTTTTCTTTGTTACTTTTTGAATAATTGCAAATAAATATGTATTAATTCCTAAAACACTGGCGTACTCAGCTTTCCTCTGACAGATGACTAAGCTTCTGGGAAAGGTGGCGTTATTTTAGCGACGAAAATATGGTCATACTCATTGGAAGTTATTGTGAGACGTGTTTGTTCATGTGAACATATTTGTTATATATATATATTGTATTTGTAATTATATATATATATATATATAAATATGTATAGTTTAACTAAAAATGTATTTATTTACTAACTGCGCTGTGCTTGTAATAATATTGTTGCATTTCAATTTTATCAATTGTATGCTTTGAGTGCCAATGTATAGCACTCGTTTGTGAATGCTAAAAAGTGGTAGTAAACATTAAGATAAACCGTTGGCTTTGCTTGTCAACTGCAGACAAGAGATTTGCATAGCCGAATTTAGATAGAGAGAACTACAATGGTACATATACCATACATATATATTGTGTATCTTTGTGGAATTTCAAGTATTTTATTTGCCAGCGAAAATGTTGTTTACTACATACATACAAATACTTATCAGTGAGCTGCCGCTACTTATCCAGTATTGTACTTGGCTTGCCAGTTGCTTTGCCAGACCTAACGACCTTGACATTGGCGTGATACTTTGCTCTAAATGCGTATTACGTCATAAGATAATTGTATACCAAATGCTCAGCAATTAAATATATTTCTCAAACAAAATCAAGTAAAGTATTGACTAGCTGCCTATGAAATTAATTTCTTAAGATTGTTTTTGCTAAAGTCGACCATAATCATGTGATCTTACGAGCAGACTAAAGCTAAATTATAAAAAAATTAAGATGAAGCCTTTCATAACATTTCATTCATTATTTAGGGGTAATTTCAAACAAGTCCTTTTGTCTTAAGGGATTACATGGGCAAATATCGGTATATTTAAAAAAAAAAAAAATTTTCATATAAAAAATTAAATATTTTATTCAGACTTTTTGTTATTAGAAATACATATATATATTTTACAATGATTTTGTGATATTTTTAAAGGAAAATATTGAAAACCCGGTCATTACAACACCATTTCTGGTAGTCCCTCGAAAAAAAGGTGCCGTCGCGTGGTTAGCAGAACTTATTACATGATCATCAGAAGTAAAAAGAAATAATACTTGTTTTAATTAAGACCATAAATTAGGTATTGAACGAAGGTGAACCAAATAAGGGGAAATTTGTATTTTTAGCAGACGTTTTTACAAAAAAAATTCAAATTTTGTTGAAAATTTCTCGACTTTTTTTTTTAAATAGTTGTAATTGAACAAAAAAAATTGTTCGTTCCAGACCTTGTAAATTATGCCTCGAACATCTGTGTATACCGACTTTGAAAACACAGTTTCGAGAAAAACGCGTTTAAAGTTTTATGTGACTATATACCTGGCCTCGAGCGCGCAGCTTCAAAGCTGTACCTCCAACCCTATTACTGGGATTAATTTGAGCATTTAACACAATAGAGATTTTATAGAATTAAATAAGACAATAAAAAATGTTTTTTGTAAGCCGTGAAACCCATGTAACCCCTTAAAGTTGTCTCTCTCTGGAATCCTTCCGAAAGCTAATCGGTATATTTGACGAACATTTTTATGGTTTTACCATAAAATTTTTACAAATTTTACCCGGACAGGTTCATATAAATTGTGCGCGCAAACCAAATCGATAAACATTTTTTTTCATAGATTGATACAAACTTTTTTATGTTCGCGTGTAGTTGGAACTCCATATAATGTTAAGTAGTATGTAATTGTTTACGACGCTAAAGATTTGTCTGGCGATTCCAATAGTGTATTTATTGTGAAATACTTCCGCATTTTCGGCGATCAAACCTGTTTCATATTTTTATTGACAACATATTCTCCAACTCAACTCCATCCTGCCACCATTTCTATTTCGAAAAGTTCAAGCATGCTTTATGCTTGACATTTTTAAGTTGCTGCTAAAAGTCAACTTACAACTTTCACATAAAGTGCGCAGCAATTGTAAACACACCAAGCTGCTGCAAGATCACCTTCCACACCGATCTGCATACCCGTATACAGTAAAAAGTGGCAATACTCACCTACACATCCCCCGCACTGCATACACTGTGCCGCAGTCTACAAATGACAACCAAAAAAAAACAGCAACAATAAATTTAAAGTATGCCCCCACAGAGAAATTTGTGTTAAATAGAATGGGGAGCGCATGAGAGTGCGCCAAATACAGAGTAGTGCACACAGCTTAGCGAATGTAGCGTGAGAGCGCACTCTGCTAACGCGAGCGCAGAACACAAATGCAGAGTTCTTGAAAGCTAAAAGCAACACATAGTCGTCAAAAGCGTTGCGGGTGATCAAAATGTGTAATGGGCACATTTTTCGTATTTTCGATTTTATTTTAGTATTTTTTCCCATATTTACTTTTTGATTATTTCATTAGCGCTGTGACTCATCGCTTTGTGTGTGCAGGGTTTGTTGTAGGAAAACTGAAAAGTGACGATGATAAGCTTACAGACTGCGAACTAGCGCGTGCGGTGTGCGGCGTGGCAGCAGGCCGGGCGGTGGTGGCTAACAAGTAGTAGCAGGGAGCACCAATTTGACACGATCGAATTCTCTAAAACACACACAAACACAGACGCACAAACATATGCTTTCTGTTGTGCAGACGTAGAGCTTGCAATATTATTTCAATATGGTAATTTTTGCTGGTATAGACACAAAAATTTCCGAATTTTCACTTTCGGTAGCTGATTTTACTGTAAAAGCTGAGCGCGCGCGCTGTAAGCAGCTATTTTTGGAATTATGCTATGAAGCATATTCGGTGTGTTTGCTATGCACTTTTTTTGTTATTTTAAAATTTTTTTTGGCCGCGTTTAAGTGCTTATGCATCAGTTGCTATTTTTAGCAACAATTTTTATATATTTTTTTATCCGCTTAAAAATTTTTTTGCTGCTTATTCACACATTTCGCTGAAATTTTCTCAAATCACAACAACAATTTAAGCCATACAGGTATTTTTAGTCCTAGTTCGATCACAACAACAGCAGCAGCAGCAGCAGCAGCTACTAAACGGCTTACTTTTCATAAGATTTTATTTTATTAAACACAATTGATTATCAAATATTTTCTGTTTTTTTATAGCTGTTTCGCGTTTTATTTGCTTTTCTTTACGTATGCTGCTTCATTTTCTGTTTTGCTTTTAATAAATTCTATCTACCTCACCACAACCACAATTCGCGCAAAATCTCTCCACTTGCGTACACCATAAATATATACACTTACTCGCCCAAGCGCTCCAGTCAAACTGACTACTCAGCGTTCACAATTCATTTCATTTCAATACAATTCAATTTCAATATATATTTCCTCTATGCGTTATTCTTTGCCTTACCTCACACCATATTCTCCCTCTTGGTTGGGTTGGTTAGTTTTTGGGCCATAGCGACGGTTTGCTGTTCGGTGGGCGGTTAGAGCAGACACGTATGTATGTTAAGAAGCCAATTGAATTAAGTCTTTAGGCTACTCTCGCGCTACCGTTTCCGCGTGGCGCGCATGAGAGTGCCTTCGCTGCAGCTCTCTTACTGGCCTTTGGCGCTTTTGTGGATGCTTATTTACCTTTTTATGCTTTTTCTCATATTAATTTAATTTTCGTCTACAGCAACAACTGTTGCGTGCGTTGATCTTTAATTGAAAGAGAGCGCTGAGTGCCCAAAGTACTTCAGGCACGCTCATCAATTGATGGCTTTTAATGTTGTAAATGACCAACGGCATGCTTACGCGTAAAATACTACAGATATATATGTATATACCATAATCTGAATCACGTTCAGGTGCTTTCGAATCGCTTAAGCTAACGGTTAACTGAAATCAATTTACTAAAAATATTTGCTTTTGTAGGGGGTAATACACTCTTCTTGTTGATATTATATTATATTTATGAATTTTGTATTTTTTTTTACTATAAATATTCGATATTATTGATGAAAATTTAACAAAACTCAGTACAGGGTCACTTAGTTGGATTGCAAATGTATATAAATATATACATATAATATATAGTATTTAGTATAAATAAAGCCATATCTCTCTGTAAGCATGAAATGTCTTCAATAAGTAGTAAAACTAAAAAAATTATACAGGGTGTCGAAATTTGAGCTTAAAAAATAAAGCTGTGGAAAATTTTTTTTAATCGTAATGTCAAATTATAACCAGTAAATTTTCAAAAAAAATTACAGGGTGCAAAAATTTGGAGTGAAAAAATTTAGATGGGGAAATAAAATAATTAACCGTAACAGCGAAATATAAATAGTGAATTTGTTTTAAAAAAATATACAGGGTGCCCAAGTTTGAAGTTAAAAAGTAAAGCTGCGAAACAAATTTTTAATATCGTAACGGCAAATTATAAACAATAAATTTTCACAAAAAAAAAATTGTTTCAGCAGAATTATTTTTCTATTACCCATTAGGAGCGCTTCAAGTGGCTGTCGATATAAAAGTTATCTGCTGCAGCGCCTTTTTCTGCTGAGAGGCTACCTTCCTTTTTTTTTTAGCCTTAACAATATGTATGTACCTTACTATAACAAATCAAACAAATATATGGTACAAACAACTTGTAGCTCAACTCTGATACTTTTTTCCAACAAGAGGTACTTGTGTCTACTGTCTAAAATAGCGGTTCTTCGCCTCCTTTTCTTGCTATTTAGAGATTATCTAGTTTCTATATTTTTTTGTCTTGACATTTTCAAATGTGATGTTGCTTCAGAAACATATATTGACTTCTAGACCCTT